TGGCCCGATGGCTGGCGCAGCTGCAGGAGTACAACCTGCAGATCGAATACCGGGCCGGACGGACGCACGCAAACGCGGACGCCTTGTCGAGGCGGCTTGCGGTGTGCGCTGAGACGAGGGCGGAGGAAGCCTGCCCGTGCTTCACGGGGGGATGCTGCCGACAGGCAACGGCCCCCCAGGAGCGCGCTGGGACTAACCCGCCTCCAATGAGGGAAAGTACAGTATGTGCCACGGAGACCCCGGCAGGAGGAGCCAGGGACATGGGGGACCACCCGGCGGTCACGGAGCCCACACCCCGGGGCCCGACGGGCCGCTCAACCCCGCCCGATCGGATCCAAGAGGACGTCGGCTGCGCGTTCCCAGGCCTCGACGACGAGCAGCTGAGACAGACCCAGCAGCGGGACCCGGACCTGGCGGTGGTGGCAGCGGCCCTAAGAGAGAAGAAGAGCGCCCTACCGGGACCCTGGAGTGGTTTGTATAATCGGTTGTGCGTGCAGAACGGGGTGGTGCGAGAGCTAACCGAGGCCAGCCAGCCAGGGTGCATCTATGTCCCCGCCCAGGTGCGACCCCAGCTGCTGAGACTGGTGCACGACCACCCGCTCGGGGGCCATGACGGGGAACGGCGCACTCGGGAGACCCTGCGTCTCCAGTATCTCTAGCCCAAATTAGCACAAGACATGGCCGCCTGGGTACGGGGCTGCCGCACGTGTCAGCAATGCAGGCCGAAACCGGTGCGCTATCAGGTACCCCTGAGGCCGTTCCGTGTCAGTCGAACGAACCAGCTGGTTGGGATCGACCTGCAGGGGCCATTCCCACAATCCCACCGGGGCAACCGATATATTCTCGTAGCGGTAGAGTATTTCACATGCTACCCCGTAGCGGTGGCCATCCCCGATAAGACGGCCCTCGTGGTGGCCCGAACATTTGTGGAGCACTATGTACTTAAGCAGGGATCCCCGAACGGGTCATCACCGACCAAGGTAGTGAGTTCGAGGCCGAGCTGTTTTAGGTGCTGTGCCGCGAGTTCGAAATCCAGAAGGACCGAACCACGGCATACCACCCCCAGGCGAACGGTATGGTGGAGTGGATGAACCAGACCCTAGCCGGGAAGCTCAAACGCATGGCAGCCGCAAATCAGCAGGACTGGGACGATTACCTCCCCTACGCCCTGTTCGCCTACACCACCACGGTACACACGTCTACGAGACAGACCCGTTCCTAATGATGTTTGGCCGTGACTCTCGCCTACCCGCAGATCTGCTGTTCGGTGTCCCCCCGCCGCAACAGGAGGAAGGGAGCCGCCCCGTGGAGCGCCTAATTGAGACTCTGCGAGGAGCCAGGGGCCGGGCCTACCCGCAAGGAGAGGCCGCACACCAGCGGCAGGAGCAGGGCGCCCGACTTCGTATGGAGCCCCCCTTCTACTCGGCAGGCTCTAAGGTGTGGCTGCACACTCCTCGCGTCGGGGCCGGACAGGTGGGGAAACTAACCACCTACTGGCGGGGACCCTGGACCGTGGGGCAGCAGATCTCCCCCTGGACGGTGCTGATTCAGGGGGGAGAGAGAGGCCGGGAGATGGTGGTCAACGTCCGCCGATTAAAACCATGGAGGGCAGCTCCAGCGAAGGAGAACCCCGCTGCTCGAGTACCCCACACCCCCAATACACGGGGGCCTCGCGCGGTATATGGGCCCCACGGGGCCCCGAGCCCCGAGGGGTCACGGATCGGGCCAGGGGGGGGGGGGGCGGGGACGACGGCCCCTAAACCCTGCCACCTCTGAGTTTGTCCCCCGGCCCGCAGGTACCGAGGACCGAGAAGAGCCGTTGGAGTGGAGGAGGAGACCGCCGCCGGAACCCCAAGAGATGGAGCCACCACCCCCGAGGCCGGCCACGAGGGCCGGGCGAGTCCCGCGGACCCCGCGGCGCTACCTCGTGGGGGCAACCCAGGCGAGGTGCTCCAGTCAACCCGGGATGGGGACTGGCACCTCGGGGGGCTGTGTGGTGCCACCGCAACGAAGCCGCTCCGTCGGAGCCGTGCCCACCACCGTGACGCCGCCACCAACGAGCGACGGGGCCGACGCTGCTCGTCCCTCACCACCCCCCACATGAACACACCCATACCCCCCACATAGAGCCCCGAGGGGAGGTCACCTGGCCGGCAGGTTTTCATCCAGAAGCCCCTCATGGGACCAAGCTTCACGGTTTCCTGTGGCCAGGGAATTGGGCGACCTACCCCGAGGCTAGTGTACATCACGGCGTCGTGACCTGGGGGGAAATTACATGGTCACGACAGGGGCTGCTGAGCCACCGCGGATAGCAACACCCACACTCAACACGGGTCAGCAAGCAAATAGAGAAAGGGGCAGGTAAGCGGACGTCGGAGAGAGCACGAATCCGATTATCAAAAGGGCAGGAAATCCCGGGGCCCTGATTGGATGGCAGGCCAGGGGGGCGGGGGCGGGGCCGCAAGGGTAGCTTTTGTTGTAAGGATGATAAAAGGGGGGTGAAACAGGCAGTGAAGGTCGGGGTTCTTCAAGGCATCGAGGTCAGCGAAGTGGTCGGCTAGCAGTTCGAATCGTCCGTGTGACGAGCCTCCAGCGCAGCCGGGCCCAGTTCTCCACGGAGACGACGTACAGCATCGCCCTTCCACAGCTTCCGGCGTATCAGAGTGGGAGTAAGAGTAAGTAAGGGAGAGGTAAGTGTGGGCTAATTAACCAGAGGGTAGAAAGTGGAGCAACAGGCAGGATAAATTGAGTCCCAGATCACCGAGGGATAGGTTAGTGTCTGCTGACCCACACAAACACACGGAGTTTAGTTGGTTTATTCGCGGGAATAAATCATCAGGAGAGGGTAAACTGTGTCGTGTGGTCTTCGTGAGTGCGAAGAGGGTGGAGTGCCTTGTGTTTGCGTGCATGCGCGGCTGTTTACACGGACTTTAAATCGGCTCAGAGGTGCCTCCTCCAATCAGAGGCGAGCGTATGGTGGACGCCCTTGCCCTTTGACCCCTGACCCCGAGTCCCTCGAGTGCGATTGGTGTACGGAGCCGGGCAGGTAGCGGCGTCGGGCTAGTTGGTGCCTGGGCACGTAGGGCGTGTGCGAACGGATCCCGGGGGTCTAAGCGCCAGCCGCGGACCATGCCTCGCACAGCAGCGGCGAAGGTAGGAGAGGCGGAGGGTAGCAACCCTCCCCCGAGTATAGAAGAGGAGAGCCTCGGATTGCAAGGAAGTGGGGATTCAGGGAGCAGCGGCCCCTACAATATGGCGTCAGAAGCGGTATGAACCCCCAGCGCGTTACCCCACGCAAAAATAAGGCATATATTCACCGGCCAGGGGACTCCTTCGTGGAAAGCATTTGCCCGCAACGTCATAGGGGCTAAAGAGATTAATGGGTGGACGGATGCGCAAGCGTTACGCCAACTTATTATGAACCTGGATGGGCGGGCAGCCGACTTTGTGGATGTCCTACCCGCAAGCGCGCAAACCCAGCTAGAGGAGCTGATGCGCCGACTTGATCTGCGTTTCGGTACGCGTGATGGGGAAGAGGCAAAGGCAGCCTTAGAGGCACGCCAGCGCCAACTCGGCGAGGACCTGTGTGACTATGCCGAGGATGTGCGCGCGCTAACAAAGACCGCACGCCCGGCGTACATGACTGAGGTGATTGAGGAGCTTGCCGCCGAGAAGATCCAGCGATACTTGGCTCGCACCTCGGATCGCAAGGAAGTGGGGATTCGGGGAGCAGCGGCCCCTACACAACTCCTTATGCATAAAAATATTAAACGAGCGCCCCATGGTTTTATTTTTTAGTTACAAATGTAAAATAATATTCTGATCAGCTGGTGACGGTTGAAAATACATTATTTTGAACTTTTTAGTGCACTTTAAAATAAAGCCGTTGGTTTTTAAAAAGTATTTTATAAGGAGTTTATTTGTGTTTAAAATGTGTTTTACTACTGTATATGAAATTGGCAAAAAAATAAACGTGCAAATCGACAAAAATATCCGATTGTAAAAAGTTATTGTATTTACTGGACCGTACTTTTCGCTCCAATCTGGAAGCCTGCACAGGGTGATGTACGTAGCTACTACTCCGCTCTTGTTTCAACACAACCACGTAGTTTGACGATCGCCGAACTGATGCAGCCTTTAGAACGGTGACACGCCGAATTACACAACGCACCTTTATCGCCGGATCGCACTGCGTATATTTTCAGTTGTTATGACTGTAGTTATTAGTCACGAAACAATGTATATATTTCATTGTTAAGTCGTATGTAGTGTATAATTTATACTCTGTGTAATGTTTCATACTGAAATCAAGCTTAGCTACTCTCTTTTTTTGTCACGCACATGGTGCCGATCGCCGAACTAGTTACACAGCCTTTGGAGCGGTTTTGCCGGATCGGCCCTGAGACCGCCGGATAACGTTGGAAGCAGCCGGATAATTTAATCGATGATCAATTGCCAATTGATTCTGTTCAAAGGGTCTCCAGAAAAGAAACGCCCTCCTCCCTTGCTCGCAAACCCTGAACGCCGAGCAAGCCTGAGGTGGTCTCCTCTTGACCCACCCGAGTGAACGGGGGCTGCTGCTTCGCTACCCCGCAGAGGACGGAGAGCGCCAGGGGGTGAGCAACTCCCCCCACGTGCGGGGGTGCGGGATGCGTCGGCCGGACCCCACGAGGTCGTCGTCGAGTCTCCAGCCCCCCCACCCCGAGTGGAGTCAGCTGGGCGCACTGACAAAGTTGCTGGCCAGCAGCAAGCGGCGTTGGCCTGAGAGTCTGTGTGTGCGTGCACTTGCCTCTACAGTCTGTTAAGGCTATATGGGGGATCTTTGTCTTTATCTGTGTGTGCGTGTCAGGCAGGGGGAGCGGTGGTACAGCAGTTAACACTCGACGCTACAAGCCTAGCGACCCGAGTTCGATTCACGCTTATGGCCAACACCAGTGACTTTTTTTTATCTAAATCGGTTCTGGGCCTCCCCGAGGTCGACTCAGCCTCAAAATGAGTACCTGTTGCGGTGTGGTAAACATCGGCGTGGTGCTGGTCACCAAGTAGCTTGACCGCAGTGGCACCGCGTCAGGGGGTTGTCGCCACCTCTTGGGACTCTTGGCCCGCACCTCTGAGCCTCACGGCAGGCTACGTATGGTGCAAAAGGCGGTCTACGTACGTACTCGGTGACAATGCTTGGCCGTTCTATTCCTTGGTCGCACGTTCCCTTGTGTTTCGCTCCGGTTTCTTGGAGTGATGTCGTGTACACCTGGCAATGTCCCAGGGGTAGGCGAGGTGATTTATAAATGTGTAGTGACGCAGTTAGAAGACACAATGGTGACTATACGCACCCTATGTGTGTGTACACTGTCTATTTTACACACAACCGTCTATCGTCGGCGGCACTATCCAGCTAGAACAGTTGGCAGGCTTATTCTATGGTTATTTCGGTAAAGTCACGTCGATATATTTTTTATTTATTAAAACTATCACGACGTTTCGATCGCAACACAAGCGGTCGTGACTTTACCGCAAGAACCATAGCATATGATTTCCTGCAGTCACGAAAGTTTTAAGTCAACAGTTGGCAGGCTGTCAAGCTCGCAATGTCCAGCGATGGTGAAGACGGCGGGGACGATGGTGGCGAAACAACAGCACGGCGAGGGGACCCACTTACAGCAGCTGCCCCGTGCTCCCGCTCAGGATTGCTCTGCCCTGTTAGGGCTCCCGGCGTGACCTTGGCGTGACCTTGCTCCGCCCAGATGGAACCCTCCATGAACTCTGCCCTCGTTGCATTCCCCCCGTGTATACTGTCGCCTGCTGACGTGTGTACTACCGTACACTGCAGTTACCACTTTCCGTCAGCAGGAGGCGCTATTACTCTACAAATAATATATGAGTCATTGGTGCATAATGAATCGTATGAATCTGCCAATATAAAATTACTATGATAAAATCCATATGGTAACCTAGAATCGTTATACAAGACCATTCTAAACCAATGTGATTTCCAAGAGTAACCAGCGAGTACAAACAAACAGCGTACGTTGCATTTTTTTATTCACTTGCAGTCATTTAGCTCATTAGGATACCTCACAAAATTGACAATTGGTTAATATACTAACGTAAAAAATTCATACATTTATTTCTCAGATCCATTGTGGGTCAGGCAAGAGGGTACTCCACTTCGGCATCGGTTGAAACAAAATTCAACAAGGGGGGTAACAGTAGCTAAAAAAAGGCTGAGAGCTACTGTGCTAGTGGATCAAGTTATGCTGAGGTGCCGTGAGTCAGGAGTGGCAGCAGGCCCCTTACAGCAAATCAAGCTGGGGATTTCGGCCATGGTCTCCTAGCTACTTAGAAAGTCCCACTTTGTAACTCTGCTTGGGCGATACTCCTGTCTCACTCTCCAGCCCAGGTTGTGATGAACTTGAACCAGGTAAGTTGAAACTTAAATTACTTCCTTGCAAACGTTCACCGTTCCACTTTCCAGCATAAGAAAATGTTGCACACGAAAGAGGAAGTCCCTTGGCAGTGGGAGGCGGGAGGGCATTGGGAACCCGAAACCTTGCCATCCCGAATCAGCTGTACTGCCAAGAGCACTCTCACCACTATGTAACTTGCATCTCAAACTTGCGTCATGTTGTTTCACAATCTCGTGTTGAAAATGATACGGTGTACAAAAATAGTCAAAATATTATCTTGTCGCGCCACTGGAATATAGCAAGCATTGAGCATGCAGTTTCTGCCTGGAATCCAGTTATCAATTCACTATAAACAATATAACTCATGAAAATCGCGTGAAAAAAATTCGGGAAGTTAAACTTATCCAAAAATGTGGCTTAGCACTTTAGTAACCCTTGTGTTACACGTAGCATTAAATAAATACAGTACAGTACAAGCATCCCTCGATTTACAAAAGGAGATACGTTCTTCAAAAACACGTGAAATGAAATTTCGTAAATAGGATAGGCTTTTCCCATTAATTAAATACAAAAAATAGGGATGTTTTCAGTACAGTCATTCCAACTGTCAACGTTAGCAGTCCCTCGGGGTTTGAGGATGACGTGGTGGCTCTTCAAGTGGCTGAGGAGTCCAATTCTGGATCCACAGATCTTTGGACATTTGGGGTCATGCGGTCCCAGGTGGAAGTGGGATCCGCAGTGCCGAGTTGGCTTTCTTTTACTTTTGGCGGCGATCCTCTTCGGCATCGAGACGTTGAGTCTGGAAGTGGGCCACGGCCTTGGTGGGGACAGCGGCGCCACTCTAGGCACTCGGCAGCTCCTCCCAGGCTGATGTTTCCGCGCTTCAGGGAGGACATGAGGGTGTCATTGTCCTCCCCATCGTCCGCTGCCCATTGGAGAGCTGAGAGAAAAGGATCTGGCAGGTACGGTGGTTCTCATGCATGCGCATGCAGTGGCCAGTCCATCGGAATTTTTTTAAGTATTGCCTCAATGCTGGCGGTGCCAGCTTGGAGGAGCCAGCTTGGAGGAGCACATTCGCATTGGTGCAGCGATCTTCCCACTTGATTCCCTGGATTTGGTGGAGGCAGTGCTGATGGAAGCGCTCAAGCGCAGTGACGTGGCACCGATATGTTTTCCACGTTTCGTTGCAGTAATGGAGCGTTGGGATGACAACGGCCCCGGTAAACTAGTCGCTTTGTGGGGCCCGACGTCCACCCCGCCGCCCTCACTGGGCAGGTGGGGCGCGACATCCGCCTGTTCCGCTCCCTCCTCCACCGTGTCGGTCGGCTCCTGCCGGGCCCCCGCCGAACAAGTGATGGGGCCCCCCACGCTAGCGCCCACTCAGGGGGACATGCTCGTGCTGCTGGCCTCGGAGACGCACGGGATTAAAGCACACGGTCGTGCATACCGCAGCTGTCACTAACAGAGGGGCCGCGAACCGCACTATCACCTGCGAGTGATTAACTATCAGCTGCGGGGAGCGCAGCTGCACGCGACGAACTGTTAACGCGCACGCCCGTGCACACTGCGGCCCCGCTAACAAAAGGGGGCCCCGCGAGTGCTGCTCACACCTGCGCGATTCCCTCACTCGTGGTAGTGACCCCACGATCACCACCCCGCATTCACTCTCGCCGCGCGTTCCCCCACCGCTACCCAGGACTCGGCTTGCACACGCAGTCGCTCCAGACTGAAATCGCAGACACCACACCACCTATGCGCTCTGCTAACTTTTATTCTCAGCGCAAACCACAATCCCTGAAAGTAAGCTGCTCGGGTCGGCACTACCCGGGGGGAGTATCTTGCAAGAAAAGCCGAGCCTGCTGCTGGCTACACTCCCAATCACTCAAGCGTCGTCCTACCACATACCTCCTAGCTGTACTCACGGCGTCGCACGGACGCTGTGATAGGCGGAGGGAAGAGGATGAGAAAGCCTTGCCTAACACTGTGTCGTAGCAGGACTCACTGGCGTCGCACGGATGCTGCGAGCGGCTGAAGAAGGCAGGACAGCAGGGGGTTCTAGATGGCCAAGATGTTGAAGATGAACTCTTTTTTTTGTTCCCTGGTCTTACCTTTTTATATCCAACTTCCAAGGACCTGGGTCACGTGATACCGCGCGGCAAATTGTGCTTGTTTCCTTGCAGTAGCAGTAGTTTAGTGCCCCCGACCTATTGTTTTCTTTTCCCGCACCTTTCACTCTTGCCCACCCTGTATTCAGGAATGTGTGACTCATCGTGCCGATTCAATAATATGTTTGCACCCACACACTATTAAGCCGATTCAGGGGCACTGCGAAGTAAACTGTCCTGCTGGGTCGAGCCAATCTCCTGGCATCGGAAAACCATTGGACATTCCCCAGAGGAATCATTGGATTAAAACCTGACTGCCAGACGACCCAACATCAGGACATTATGATGTGTGTGCGATGTGTGTGTATTCAGTGTGGGGGGCGGGGGGGGGTTGCGGCACCTGCAGGGTGGCTTTGAGGCCGTGGCACCCCAGCTTTGTTATTCTGCACATATCTTTGTTATTGAAGACGCACTTGTGCAGTTTGCAGAAGGCAGCACTGGTGCCTTGTCGATGGTGGCCGTTTGGGAGATATAACTCCCATTTTCTCATTTGCCCAAAACGCGGACCAAAAATTAAATCGATTGATCTCTGGCTAAACCCTTCGAAAGTGGTGACACAACACCTATAAACAAAAAGTGCGAGGAAAACAACAATAGTTCTTGATGCTGCTCCCGACACTATTTTTTATCTGTCGAGCAGTGAAGATCATATCTGCAGTGCCCCACGATGGTCAGAATCCGCACCACCTCCTCAGCCAAGATGCAGGCCCTGATCTTTCCTGCTACAGTGAGTATTTTTTGTACGTTTGCCCACTGACAAAGAAATGATCAGTCTATGTTAATGGTAGGTTTATTTGAACAGTAAGAGACAAAATAACAACAAAATCCAGAAAAACGCATGTCAAAAATGTTATAAATTGTTTTGCATTTTAATGGGCCCGACTGAAGTTTGTGTAGGTATAGATACCTACGTGGGGGTAAATATATTTTCTGAGGGGGGGTCGACAATTTTTGCAAACCTTTTAGATCAACTATTTACCCCCCACTTTCTATAACTTTTTGGACTTCTGCAAGCCGCTTATAATTTTGTTGGTGGAGAAATGGACAAACGGCCCACTGGGCTTTCACAATTGTTTAGTATCTGTGTATGTTCATGTAAGGTTTTTAAGATAAGTTTTGAAATATATTTTTTCGCCCGGGCAACGCCGGTTACTTCTCACGAGTTATATAATTTACCCTACATTTGTTTTAATCTTCACACACTCCCGGGAGCACCAAGCTCGCTCACTCTGAAACTCCCCCCCCCACTCCGTGCTGCCCCACACGCCCTGGAAAGGGGAGAGGCCCACGCCCACCCTCTCGGCCCACGGGCCTGGGGAGGGAAACAGAGAGGGGTGGGGGGGGGGTGCGAACTCACGCTCGCGTGACCAGTCTAGAGGGCCTCGAGTGAGCGTGGCCACAGCACCGCTTTACCAGAACATTTCATTAACTCCTCGTACGAGACAGGAGCCTACCCTGTGGGTGGTTTAAGACGTAGGTTTTTGCTCTTGATTACAGCTTCACTCGAACCACTGAAAAATCGGAATCACGAGGATTTTGTATTTGTAAGATGAGAGGTGAAGTGTGGGGAGCCGAAAGTGTTAAATTCTCGCCGAATTTAAACTGGAAATTTTTTTAAACGATGTATTAACAACCACTTGGGGAGTCTGGCAGCAAGATGGAGTGATCAGGTTATCTGACAGGCGGCTGGTAGAGACATGACAGTAGAGCTCGGGGAAATGGAGGCTTGAGGGATGAGCGGCATCACCATATCCAACTGCATTATACACGTGTGTACGTGTGTAGTGGCATAATGCACGCAGGGTTTGCAAACAGCAGTTTCATTCATGTACGGGGTTGCAAAGTGAGGTCAGGTCAGGACGAGCAGGTGCAAGCGTGAGGCCTGGTAGACAGCAGACAGAGAGACGCCAGCAATTAAGGAAAGAGGCAGTGATTGGCTGGCTGCAAATGTAAACACGGAGTAGGCGCCAAGAAGGCGAGAGATAGAAGCGATAAGAGGGGGAGCATGTGCAGGAGACGCCGGGGGGAGGACACCGGCTTAACGAGGGTCACCTGGGGACTCTTAATGAGGAGGGGGATATAAGGGGATGTGGGAAGCAACGGAGGGGAGTTAGTTGGAGATGAAGACGTGAAGAAGTCAATACAAGAGAAGTCCGGGACCTCGCCCTCCACACCTCGTCCTCCCCAGCGGTGTTGGCTGAACCCCCGCTGGGGGCACGGGCGAGGTTGGATTGGAGGTGTGGGTGTAGTAACAGGCTAGTGGAGAGGGTCGCGGAATCCTTAGTGCGAGTGTGATAGGCTAGTGGCGAATAGGTGAGCGGGATATCAATGTGAGGCTAGCGAGGTGAGAAGCTAGCGGAGTATACAGCAACAGGCCAGCGGAAACCAGGCTCACGGAGCCAGAGAGAGAGCATTCGTGACAGGCTAGTGGAGCAAAAGAGGGAGAGTTCACGACGGGAGTATGTGGTGTTGAACGTGAGGAGCCTCTATGTGGGAGGCTACGAATAAAGTGACACAGGAGAAAAATATGAAGTTGTCCGCATGAATAAACGCCACTACACGTGTGTAGTGACACAGCGCCGACTCCTGTACATCAGCAGCAACTGCAGTGGACACTTAGCACACACGCCATTGAGCATATACACGGTGTGTGTGCCGGCAGGGCAGTGGAACTGGGGTAAGGGTCACGGTAGACCTCAAAGGGAGGCCCCTGGAAGCCTCTAGTGGGTTCGAGAAGGGAGGTGCAGCTAGGGTGGAGCCAAGCCACGCCGAAGGGAATATAAACTTTGACGGGACCCCGGGGTCCCATAAGTCTCGCATAAACTGCGTTGCGACGTCATTTTATGTCCGTTGAAGGCTAACGATACGGCAATCTATTCCTCTCGACGAGCTCTATACGATGCGATAATCAAAGTTTTGTTTATGACTACTGCATTTGTCCTCGCTGTGCTTGGACGATATGACAACAGAATGATCCGTGCCAGGTGGGTCGTGGCGTTTGTGCGTGGTGGGACGGAGTTGCCAAAAATAAATCAATTATTTACGATTTTGACTTCCATTTATTCGGGACCCCGGGGTCCTGCCATGAGGTTCATATAAGCAGCGGAGAGCGAGAGCTCTGGGCTGTCGGTTCTGGGAGTGGACTCGTCTCGTCATCGTCGCCGCCTTCGCCCGATCATTGCGCGGCCGGACAGTAGTTGGCCGTGTTGGTCGATGCCGTCAGAGCAATGTGGACAGGGTGGTGTCTGGGCCGGGCCGTGTGGCAGCGTGGTCGAGAGAGAGGAGGCCGGAGTTTGTGGTGTGAACTAATAAAAGAGAGACGGTGCCTCCTGCGACTACCTCGTCTCCGACTGAATGTGTGCGCCGCACGCCACATGCACACACGCCTCGAGGGGGGAAGGAAGAAGAGACGACACTACACGTGTATAAATATAACACTTATTCCGCCAAAGATGCTCACAGATTATTGGCGAGATTCCAACTCTCAAACACCCCCATGAAAGGCATTAGAATGTTGGGAGTGTTTGGCAGGATTGTACTGCCCTGTTCATGGAGCCTTCCAGTTCGCCTGTGCACAGGATAGTCAACACCATTGCCACACGGGAGAATGTGAATGAAAAACCACACACTGGGCATTTCCCAAATCTGTGTAATTAAAACTGTTCTGCAGAAACGATGCCATGTTGCGCATTTCAGCAAGACAAGTCGAGGTGCATTTGTTGTGCCTTAAGTTGAGACACCTGAAACGATGGCAGACAATTTATATTCTATTTTTGTAAATGTGTAATTCTGTTGCTTCGATGCAGTCATCATGCGGCATGTGGGGAGACATGTGACCGATTAAAGAGAGTACTGGACTGGATTTCGTACCCATGTGCCCATCACATTAACAGGATCCCCGACTGGACAGTTACGGCCTGTATGTACACGCAGTGTTTGTATCACACTTTGGCTTCTCAAGTTTCCAACTGATAGTGCTGCTCACATGTGATTTGTTACAGCAATAGAAAACAGGTTACACAAAGCGTTAAATTGCACTTCAAGCATTATAAAATAAACAGCACTCATGTCCGTGGTTATATGTACGAAATACGTACATGATACAGATTTCAAAGTGTTGTAAATGCTAAGTTATTCACATGTAAATGCTATTAAACTATTCATAATAAAGGTTTTTGGGTTAGATCGCATAAGTATAAATGTGTCGAAACCCTCCACCACCCAATACAGCCAATTAGTAAGGGATGTCACGTAAACAAAACGCCAAATAGTTACTTCAGCCCACCGGTGTGTTGGAGAGTAAATCCACAACAAATCCAACACACCGGTGGGCTGAAAGAGTAACTATTTGGTGTTTTGTTTACGTGAAAAATCCCTAATTGGCTGTCGGGTGGTGGAGGGTTTCGACACATTTATACTTATGCGATCTAACCAAAAAAACTTTATTATGAATAACATTGGTTGTGAAAGCCTACGTGTTAAGCTTTTAAACTACATTTACATAATGGTATGCTTGCAGTCTCTTCCACGTGCAATGGGAAACCGCACTACAGTGAAGTTTACAAAGCATTATACTGCGACAACTTTCCACACATTCAGTTATACGACTACGACTGACCTTTTCAGTCATCCAGGAAGTCGCGTGCATATTCCTTCTCATTGTAACAATGCGTTAATACAGCATTTCGAAACCGTTTCCTACTCAGGCAGGCTTCATTGGTCCAACCGGTGGACAATACACAAACTGCTCCCCGAGGGAAAAAGGCACCATGGCACGCTTGCCATTGCTTCTGAAGACCAAAAGATATGGTAACGACGCTCGATGCAATGTGTATTAAAAACTAAATGCAAAGAAAACGTATGCATATTTGTTCTAACATTACCGCAAAACCACAAGGCCAAATGTTCACAAATTCATGAAGCTGTCCGAAGGGTAAGGTATGAAAGTGCATTATTGGTCCCATTGCATGGGTGTTGGTGTAGGACTTTAAAAGCACTTCACCGAAGGAACCTATTTTACATTGAGTGAGCTTCCTTTGATTCGACTTTGTGTCCATGGTACAGAAATGTATGCGTTACTTCCAGTGGACCTGTGGATTTAACTTAGTGCAATATTAATCCCATACTTAGGTGAGCATGCATAACTCGCAATTGGAAGGCTGCACGTTGAAATCCCGGTTAGGGGTCAACTCAGCCTTTCACTGCACTGGAGTAGTAAAATTATTACCACTAAAAGTCAAGAGTGGTAGTTTTATGAATACGCCCGTCGCACACTGGGGATCGCATTCAATCCTTGCCTCACCTTCCCCGCGCTGCTCGCTCGGCTGTCTGCTCCCCACTCACCGAGTGCTACACGGCAATAGAACGGGCAGCTTTCACCCCGCAGAGGGAATGGCATCCCGAGTGGAATAATACATACAGATGAAACTAAGCTGTAAACTATTAAACTATGTTTTATTTTATCTTGCCAGGTAAGGCCCACTGAGCTATGTAGATCTTTTTCAGGAGCGACCTGGCCACAAATGACAGCTCAACAAAGTGGCTTATCATGTGGAAATTTCGAGCAGCCAAATACATCGATTCTAAAAGTGGAGGGAAAACCGGAGGACCAGGAGAAAAATCCATGCTACTACAGGGAGAGATATGGAATTTCCGCCACTGATTTAAGCTCTGTCCCATTGTTAGAGCAAAAAGAAAACGTTATTTAGCATTTTACAAAATGACTGTAAAGTCATAAAAACAAAACATGAAATGAGCAGAACATTCACGGCAGAGACAACTCAGAACTGGGAAGAGTTGCTGACACTGGGAAAATGAATAGCTGAAAAAGCGAAATGGTGCTGGCGGAGTGCAGTGGCGCTGGGAGTGGTGGCGCTGGGGGAATGGTGGCGCCGGGGGAATGGTGGCGCAAGGGATTTCGGTGGCGCTACTGGACAGTGGTGCTGTCAGAGTAGATGATTCCCTCGGCACGGATTCTTTCCAGCAGGGGTTGGTAGATGTGAGGCTTTAGAGGTATCACCATGCCCTTCTCCCAGATCTCTCCTGCAGTCACACAGGGGGGTACGTGTCAGAGCATCACACAGATATTTGCCAGTAAACAACATCCCATCATCCGTCAGCCTAAAGTAATTATATATTGATGGTTTTTTGGGTTAAGAGCCGTTTTTGGCGAGTCTTGACTTGCGTCTCAGCACCAAGCTATGTGTGTGTGTGAAACGAATGCTTATGGGTGTCCAGGGCGGCCTGTAATTCCATTATGAGTTTATTTCCATGTCACTGTAGTCCCTATAGCATATGTTGGGAAACAATGTTGTACACAACGCATGTTTCGTGAGAGATCTGTTGATTGCAAAATTAGTCTAAATGTAAATCAGGGTTGGGTAAATCCAGGCTTTCCACCTCGGTGGCTTTGTCTCTCCATGTGAACAAATCAACGGATGTGTGCAAAGTTACATGTGAATGCAGAGGACTGTAAAACACATATTGGGCTCTGCACGTCCTTGAAAAGTTTTGAGTTTGCCAATTGCCACTGCACACGGTAGTTGTACAACTGTGAGTTGTACAACTGTGAGTTGTCTCACGACATTCAAACATTGGGTATGGCATTGGTCCTCCATCAATTGGAGCTGTAAGGCTGCATATGAAACGTCTGACATTGTGAAGAAACTCCTAGTCAATTTAATTGGAAACGTTCTCACTACTGACACAATGCCAATTGTTAGTTATTTTAACGGCATAGGCCGAGGTGTTAGTGTGCCTTTATGTCTCAAAGCAATGCATTCTTTCTCTCCCACCACAGGTCTGACCAACTGGTGTTGTCTTTATAGAGTTGCCGATGTGGAAATCTTCTTTGGTTCTTTCGGTAAAGTCACGTAAAATGAGAATAAAATAATAAATTGATAAAATAAAATAACACAATAATATTCTCACGACGTTTCGGCCACAACACAAGCGGCCTTCATCAGGTGAAGGGACGAGACTGTCTGGTAGGACAGCGCTGGAGTGAAAGAGCCACGTTCAGATCACGACCTTTAAGCTGTGTGAGAGGAAACAAAGCGCCTTGACAAAGGAATTAGCATATAATTTAGCATTGAAATGGCTGAGTGATTAGCTTGTGACTTGTCACAGAAATAGCTATGTTAAAGTTAAAGCATACACATCTGCAGAGACACCCCTTGATAAAGGAATTAGCATAGAATTTAGCATTGAATAGCTAAGTTAAAGCATACACATCCGCAGAGGCACCCCTTGACAAAGGAATTAGCATAGAATTTAGCATTGAAATAGGTGAGTGATTAGCTTGTAACTGGTCACAGAAATAGCTACGTTAAAGTCAGAGCATACACATTCACCGAGGCACTTAGTACAAATCAAACAGGAGAATTTAGCATTGAAATAACTAGGCGAATTTAGCATTGAAATAACTGAGTGATTAGCTAGTGACTGGTCACAGAAATGACTATGTTGAAGTCAAGGCCTACACATCTGAGCTATTCACAGTACTATATAGTGAACCAATAAAAGACTAAAATATAAATTACCTTAATGTTATCAATAAACTCTATATTCTCCAATCAGCTAAGCTACCAACAATAAGTCGTTATATATCACAATGCTATATGGCGAAAAAAAATGGGTGGATTTTTACCCTCAACTTTAGCACCACGGATAGCTACGGGCCCCGTTCAGACGGACGAGTTCATCCATGGTCGGAACAGAGGAGGGGGAGAGAGACAGCTGCGAGGCGCTATTATACTCCATGTTGTAAACCATACCATTAACCGTGGTGTGAGACGTATTAAGAGTCAATGCTGGCGAAAGAGCTGCAGTCTGAAGGTCATCGTAAAATACAATTAATTAAGAACAGAAATGGTTTAAAACATCTTTCCAATGGTTACCAAGCCAGAATCCATCTTCTCGGTTGAAATTGTCTCTGTGCTTGTATATGTGAATGGCCTCATGAACGAATCTCTCATGGTAGCCGGTTGGTTTGCAAAGAACCTCCGTCTTGGAGAAGTCAATGTCATGTGAGCCCACTGAATTATAACAGTGATCTGCCACGGCAGAGGAGTTCGTCTTACCATGTTTCAAGTCTGCTTTATGTTCGCGGATGCGGTCCGAGATATGTCTTTTGGTTTCTCCAATGTAGCTACTACCACAGAGGCACTTTAGTTTGTAAACGCCCGGGTACTGTATGTCTGGAAGAGCATCTTTTACAGATGGAACTAAATCACGGATTTTATGTACTGTGTTGAATCGGACCTGGATCTTGTGTTTATTCAGGATTTTGGAGATCTTTTTAGTGACCCCTGCAATGTAGGGTAAGGTGATGGTTTTGAGTGGCTCCACAAGAGGATCCTTCTTCATGACTGGAGTGATGGCTTTGCGGATTGTGTAGACAGAGTAACCATTAGCCCTGAGAGCCTGGTGTACGTGCTTGAGTTCACTGGTAATGTGTTCCTGGTCGGAAATGCATTGGGCTCTATGGTATAGAGTCTTGATGAGGGAGTTCTTCTGGGATGGAAGGTGGTGGGAATCCGGTTTCAAGTAAGCATCTGTATGGGTAGCTTTCCTGTAGACAGAGTGGCTCATTGAACCATCATGTCTTCTTTTAATTAAGACATCCAAAAAGGGTAGTTTGCCATCTTTTTCGACCTCCATGGTAAATCTGATGGCTGGGTGTATGGAATTGATGTGGTCGCGGAATTGGTCTAGAGCAGGCTGGCCATGTGGCCAGATGACAAAGGTGTCATCAACGTACCTCTTCCATAAGGTCGGGCGTAGAGTGGCAGTCTGGATGGCGTCAGTTTCAAATTTTTCCATGAATACGTTGGCTACAACCGGAGATAGGGGGGAGCCCATTGGGGTGCCCTCAGTTTGTTTGTAGAAAGTTCCATTCCAGGTGAAGTATGTGTTGGTTAAGCAATGTCTCACCAGGGGGGGTACATCAGTATGCAGTCCTTGATGAACCAGGTCTTCAATGATAGCAATGGTGTCAGGTACCGGGACTTTGGTGAACAAGGACACCACATCAAAACTGACAAGCAGGTCGTCTGGGGACAGGGAAATGCCTTTGATTGTCGATACCAGGTGAGTAGAATTTAGTACCGCAGAGGTGGTTTTTCCAGTGAAAGGTCGCTGTATATCAGCAAGAAAACGTGCCAGTTTGTAGGTGAGGGAGTTGATAGTAGAGACGATGGGACGAAGGGGTGTATCTTCTTTGTGTATCTTTGGAAGGCCATATAATCTTGGTGGTCTGGCAGCAGAGGATTTCAACGAGAACTGTTTGATCTCATCAATTAATGCTGTTGAATCAGAGATGATTTTGTTCGTTTTGGTGACCAGGCTGTTGGTGGGATCTCTTTTTATTTTTGTATAGCTGCCATCATTGAGTAGTTCTTGAATTTTGTTGTTATATTCTGTTTTGTCCATGATGACAGTGGCATTGCCCTTGTCGGCTGAGAGGACGACAATATCATCCCTCTTTAATTGAGATCATTCAAAACGTTCGTCTTTGCTGATGTTGCTGGGTGGCAACTTAGCGTTTTTGAGGGTTGCAGCGATTTCAGATCTTGCTACGTCTGCAGAGATGTGACTCAAGCCCTTGAGTGCAACGTCGACATGGGCAATGATATCATTAACCGGTAATATAACCGGTAATATATAACCGGTAATATAACAACAAAATTCAAGAACTACTCAACGATGGCAGCTATACAAAAATAAAAAGAGATCCCACCAACAGCCTGGTCACCAAAACGAACAAAATCATCTCTGATTCAACAGCATTAATTGATGAGATCAAACAGTTCTCGTTGAAACCCTCTGCTGCCAGACCACCAAGATTATATGGCCTTCCAAAGATACACAAAGAAGATACACCCCTGCGTCCCATCGTCTCTACTATCAACTCCCCCACCTACAAACTGGCACATTTTCTTGCTGATATACTGCGACCTTTCACTGGAAAAACCACCTCTGAGGTACTGAATTCTACTCACCTGGTATCGACAATCAAAGGCATTTCCCTGTCCCCAGACGACCTGCTTGTCAGTTTTGATGTGGTGTCCTTGTTCACCAAAGTCCCGGTACCTGACACCATCGCTATCATTGAAGACCTGGTTCATCAAGGACTGCATACTGATGTACCCCCCCTGGTGAGACATTGCTTAACCAACACATACTTCACCTGGAATGGAACTTTCTACAAACAAACTGAGGGCACCCCAATGGGCTCCCCCCTATCTCCGGTTGTAGCCAACGTATTCTTGGAAAAATTTGAAACTGACGCCATCCAGACTGCCACTCTACGCCCGTCCTTATGGAAGAGGTACGTTGATGACACCTTTGTCATCTAGCCACATGGCCAGCCTGCTCTAGACCAATTCCGCGACCACATCAATTCCATACACCCAGCCATCAGATTTACCATGGAGGTCGAAAAAGATGGCAAACTACCCTTTGTGGATGTCTTAATTAAAAGGAGACATGATGGTTCAATGAGCCACTCTGTCTACAGGAAAGCTACCCATACAGATGCTTACTTGAAACCGGATTCCCACCACCATCCATCCCAGAAGAACTCCCTCATCAAGACTCTATACCATAGAGCCCAATGCATTTCCGACCAGGAACACATTACCAGTGAACTCAAGCACGTACACCAGGCTCTCAGGGCTATGGTTACTCCGACTACACAATCCGCAAAGCCATCACTCCAGTCATGAAGAAGGATCCTCTTGTGGAGCCACTCAAAACCATCACCTTACCCTACATTGCAGGGGTCACTAAAAAGATCTCCAAAATCCTGAATAAACACAAGATCCAGGTCCGATTCAACACAGTACATAAAATCCGTGATTTAGTTCCATCTGTAAAAGATGCTGTTCCAGACATACAGTACCCGGGCGTTTACAAACTAAAGTGCCTCTGTGGTAGTAGCTACATTGGAGAAACCAAACGACATATCTCGGACCGCATCCGCGAACATAAAGCAGACTTGAAACACGGTAGGACGAACTCCTCTGCCGTGGCAAATCACTGTTATAATTCAGTGGGCTCACATGACATTGACTTCTCCAAGACGGAGGTTATTTGCAAACCAACCGGCTACCATGAGAGATTCGTTCATGAGGCCATTCACATATACAAGCACAGAGACAATTTCAACCGAGAAGATGGATTATGGCTTAGTAACCATTGGAAAGATGTTTTAAACCATTTCTGTTCTTAATTAATTGTATTTTACGATGACCTTCAGACCGCAGCTCTTTCGCCAGCATTGACTCTTAATACCTCTCACACCACGGTTAATGGTATGGTTTACAACATGGAGTATAATAGCGCCTCGCAGCTGTCTCTCTCCCCCTCCTCTGTTCCGACCATGGATGAACTCGTCCGTCTGAACGGGGCCCGTAGCTATCCATGGTGCTAAAGTTGAGGGTAAGAATCCACCCATTTTTTTTTCGCCATATAGCATTGTGATATATAACGACTTATTGTTGGTAGCTTAGCTGATTGGAGAATATAGAGTTTATTGATAACATTAAGGTAATTTATATTTTAGTATTTTATTGGTTCACTATATAGTACTGTGAATAGCTCAGATGTGTAGGCCTTGACTTCAACATAGTCATTTCTGTGACCAGTCACTAGCTAATCACTCAGTTATTTCAATGCTAAATTCGCCTAGTTATTTCAATGCTAAATTCTCCTGTTTGATTTGTACTAAGTGCCTCGGTGAATGTGTATGCTCTGACTTTAACGTAGCTATTTCTGTGACCAGTTACAAGCTAATCACTCAGCTATTTCAATGCTAAATTCTATGCTAATTCCTTTGTCAAGGGGTGCCTCTGCGGATGTGTATGCTTTAACTTAGCTATTCAATGCTAAATTCTATGCTAATTCCTTTATCAAGGGGTGCCTCTGCGGATGTGTATGCTTTAACTTTAACACAGCTATTTCTGTGACAAGTCACAAGCTAATCACTCAGCCCTTTCAATGCTAAATTATATGCTAATTCCTTTGTCAAGGCGCTTTCTTTCCTCTCACACAGCTTAAAGGTCGTGATCTGAACGTGGCTCTTTCACTCCAGCGCTGTCCTACCAGACAGTCTCGTCCCTTCACCTGATGAAGGCCGCTTGTGTTGTGGCCGAAACGTCGTGAGAATATTATTGTGTTATTTTATTTTATCAATTTATTATTTTATTCTCATTTTACGTGACTTTGCCGAAAGAACCAAAGAAGATGAATCATTGCAGTCACGAAAGCTTTAAATCGAGATGTGGAAATCGTTGTGTTTTACATCTCAAAGTTATTTTATCATCTGAGCAGGGCAAGGAGTTGAGCAATTCAGCCAATGTGCCAGCTCATACTGAATTTTCTGCGGACTCATCCAATACTCCCTATTTTTTGGTATATATATATAACCTGCCACTCTACCTAGAGCTATGCTTCCGGTATCCCACCTTGCTTGATATATATCCCGGACTAGGAATAGCAACAGCACTGAGTATTGAATAGCCGTCGAACGAATTTACAGCGTTAAGCGCCGGATTCACATCCCGATGAAATTAACCGAAATTGCCTCCTTGCTATCGGAGGCAGTGGCACGATTTTCTGAACACTGACACCAGGAGGGACATTCGCCATCGTGTGCACGGGACCCTGCATGCATGCGTGCGCAAGAGCGAGCTTTGGGCCTTGTACCGTTGAGCACCATCTTGGCAGCGATAGCACAGGGGTAGCCCACGGTCTTGGCCATGGCCGAGTAGCCGCCGCGGTCTCCGTAGGACACCAGGTTCACCACCGTCTTCTCCCGCACGCCGGTGGGCAGGCGCACGACCACCTCGTTCCTCAAGATGACCAGGTCACGCTCGTCGGGACCTGCGCACGCCGTACGCACCACCACTGCTCAGCACCACTGCACGACCTCTATCGGACGGCCGTCAAGTCCACTGCGTTGCCAGCATCTACTTAATAACTGAACAAATCCCTGTGCTGTACAAAGTCAGCAAACGTAATTTTGATTCTATTTTGTGCGACATATTTCATTTTTCGAGCAAAATTTAACTTTTATAGTAAACCAGCCTTACTACCCGGCTTCGCCCGAGACTTAGATTCACCACGCCCGGCCGCCTTTGTCTCCCCAGTGGTGATGTTCACACACCACACCAGTTACTCGTTTGAGGCTGAGTCGACCTAGGGGAGGCCCAGGACCGGTTCAAATAATCGTCACCGGTGGTGGCCGTGAGCGGGAATCGAACTCGGGTCGCCGGGTTCGTAGCACAGCGCGCTAACCACTACGCTACCGCTCCCCCCACACACACAGACGCGCGCGTGTCCATAGGTACACATACACGCGCTTGCTGCTGCAGACACACAACTTTCAGGGTGCGCACGGCAGTAAACGACTGAAATAATAAAGCAATGCTGCGCGAAGAACGCCTTAGACCTGCAACACATTTGTTTGGCACTGTACCCACGCCGCGGAGGGTTGGGGGGTGACATGAGCAGGCACACTGCCTTACGCTTCCACATGCGCGGGTCACATGACAGATGTGACGTCACAGCTCACTTGCCGTGCAAAAATATGCATTATTAAGCCCCTCCCCCCCAAAAAATACCAAAATGTATTTTTATTTTTGCATGGTGTACAGTCTGGAAAGTACCCACATGGCAAATTTCAAGTTTGTTGCATGTCGGGAAGTACACTAAACATTTTTAACAGACACAGAATCACAACTTTGCCTTTTATATATATGGAGATATATAATATGTAATCATGGCCAATGCCATTGCACTTTTGCTTATGCCAAATCCTACAACTGTTTCAGAATTGACACCAGACCTCCAAAATCTGCTCTTACATAATACTACCCTCTGGCTTGCTATATATTTATGTTACATGCATGCAATTAGCGCATGCGCACAAGTGATAATCTTTGGAATATTTCTGGACAATGTTGTAATGCCACCAGAGGAGGCCACATTCCAGGAGGGTAGAGGCAGAGACTGCTCGTGGAATCTCTGCTGAGTTGCAGTTGGGTGCGCCCGTCACACACTGGGGATCGCATTCGATCCTTGCCTCACCTTCCCCGCGCTCGCTCGGCTGTCTGCTCCCCACTCACCGAGTGCTACACGGCAATAGAACGGGCAGCTTTCACCCCCTAGAGGGAATGGCATCCTGAGTGGAATAATACATACAAATGAAACTAAGCTGTAAACTATTAAACTATGTTTGATTTTATCTTGCCAGGTACGGCCCACTGAGCTATATAGATATTTTTCAGGAGCGACCTGGCCACAAATGAGAGCTCAACAAAATGGCTTATCACGTGGAAAATTTTAGCAGCCAAATACATCGATTCTAAAAGTGGTTGGAAAACCGGTGGACCCGGAGAAAAATCCACGCTACCACAGGGAGACACATACAAATTACAAATATACAGCAGGCGCCAGAACTGGGATCAAACCCACGACCTCTTGTATACCATAGCGAGGCAGTTAACATCTCGTCACCGCCGCGCCCCAAAATGCCCTACCAAAGGAGAGCCGCTCCTCCAGGTGGGCAGCCAAGGCGTCGACGAGGCTGGGGGCCTCTCTTACCAGCTGCGCTCCCAGCAGCCCCAACCTGAAACAGCACCAAGCACAATCCGTTCATGGCTCCCGCCCTGGTCTTCCCTCCCGATGCCTGTTTACTCCGAGCACCTGAGGTCTGGATTCCTTGTCAGCTAGTTCCCTCTGTTGCTCGCTCCCATAAACGCCCACGCCTTGTTCCGTTCTCACAACTCCTTCCCTGACGGGCTTTTTCTTTCGTCGTCTTCCCGATTCTGCCCCCTTTCTCCCTCTGTCAAAGACTTCACAACATGAACTGAGCCCATTCTTCACCGCATGCCTGGACCATCTCATTCCTTGCTTCTCTGTATGCATGTTGAACTTCTTTCGTACCATACGTAACCGCCCGTCCTAATCGGAGGTGATATCACTCAGGTAAGCACTACTTCTCTTCTCATTTTGAGATGTTCAAGAAGACTACAACTGTAAAAGCTCCTGCCAGCTCAATATGGAATTTTGTCACCTCTTGCTCAGGCTTCCAGTAGAGTTGAGCAAGACCCCAGTACTGTTACCGAGCATGAAGATGCTTTGCTTTGACTTGGCAACACAATGCAGTTGAGTTTACTTCGCATTAGCAGACATATGGTACTGTAAAAAACACACGTAGTAATATGCGTTAAACCGGATTTAAAAGTTTGGCCAGTGTAATTTTTAAGTCGGATAGTCATTGATAGTAACAATGTTTACTTTATTTACTCAGGAAAGCCTCACTGAATCTCAAGACGTTTTCAGCAGGGTACTCTACTGGGCTGTTTGACCAATTACACTCGTCACTGTTTTTAATTGGGGAAGATTAACTGTTCATGTCCATAGAAAATACACTAAGCACTGTGATACGTGCAGTTATAGGCATTCCATTACCACTCTTGTCCACTGGCCATCATGTGCCCTTCCCATGCCCACTTGCCTTTCTCAGGCAGTCAATTTGGTAACCGTGATTTACGATTGTTCTCTGATCACATGCGTTGAACTCTCCCTCAGCATAACCCTCTGGCGTGCATCGGTGCCGCATACCTGTCAAGCCCTTATTAGTGCCTACCTTATTACAGACCAATTCAGACCTTATTGGTCACCCATGCCCATATAAATATTAACGTTCATCTTAAAAAGTCCCATCAAAAGGGACAAACACAAATAGACAAATTCTTTTGCCCGTATTGAAGTGGCTGTATGCCGTATGGACCTGAAAACTAAATTTTCCTGTACAAGAATAAAGATAAACTATATGGGTTGACAGGTATGGTGCCGTGCTGTGGAGAGGCTTCGTGAGGCCTCCGCGTGCGTGTTTGGGCGCGAGGGCCGTGATCTCACTGCTGCAGGGCACGCAGACTCTGCTCGTTGCCGCTCAGGCGAGCCAGCACGGCCTCCTCCAGGGCCGCCCCTCCCTCGTCCACGCCCAGCATGGAGCACATCAATTGCCTCTGCGCGACACAGACACAGCACACGCGGGCATGTGTGAAAAGCCGCACACAGCAGCAGTTTGTCGCTATAATGTTCGTCTAACCAGGAAGGATTTGCAGAGCATCATACTCTTTTTTAGGAGGGTCCTGCCAGGTTCGTGGTAGGGAGCGACATTGCCGTGTGCGATCCCAATTGAGTGATTGAGGTATTTTTTCAGCATTGGTATATAATGGCTAATGCCAGTTACATTTTGTTGCCAGAAAAAAATGGGAAAACCTATTCTCATATTTTGGTACTGGCAAAGGAGGTCCCATGATGTAGCTGTTCACCCCGAGCTCTCATTACTCTGATATTGGCATTGTCTTTGAGCTGTACGCCTTTTGGCGTCCTCTGGTCTAACACCGTTTGAGACGAGGCTCCAAAGAAAGCTTTCTCTGGTGTGAACCAATCAGTTTCAAAGACAATGCATATATTATCAGAGTATGTTTTTTGTTTGCATTCTGACCACAAGTATTGTGGTTAATGCAGACACGATTCCGTATGAAAGGTTTCAGTTTGGTGTTTTAACATCTTAACACCTGTTTTGTTGCCAGAAAAAAGGGGAAAACCTATTCTCATTGTAGTTTTTTTTAGCCTTGGAAACCACAGAAACCTGGAGGAAACCCATGCAGAGCAAGGGGAGAACATACAAACTCCACACACAACGCAATCGAGTCGGGAATCGAACCCAGCCCCTTCCTGCGAGGCAGGAGTGTCACCACTGCGTCCTGTACAATAGGGAGAGAGAAAATAATGGCAGAACTCCTTCCTCTATTTCCACACCCACATATATATTTTATAGAGCGATTGGTTTTTCAGCATAATGTTACCCGGCAGCATTTGCTTAACAAGCCTGACTGCTGATGACACCCAGGAGGTCGAGTTTGCCGCTGGACGACATTGGCCTAAAAAGCCATTAGGCCAGGTGTCGGCAACCTGTGGCTCCAGAGCCGCATGCAGCTCATTAAAGACTCCTTCGTGACCTTATTTATTAGAGGCCACTGTCTAGTGTTCACACACATTGCAGCTTTTGAAAGAGGTTTTTTACAGAATTCTAAAAAATGGCTGACCCCTACAATAGGCCAATGGGACTAAATATATATTTATAAGTGAAGACAATGAACGGAGTCCTATGTATTATATGCCTTTACCTATAATGCTTCACAACAACACGTAACGAGATAAAAAGAACGATGGGGGGGGGGGGGGGGTGGCGGGGGCGCCCGATTAGAGCGGAGGAGCGCGATGCATCGAAGCGACGACCGCTTTGTGTTAAGCATAAAATATGCACCCGGCTGCTTTACAACAGTCAAGACCCCTGATATAATTCACAACGAGTAGGCCATGTGTGCCATGGCCTAATATCATGGTCCAAATTTGCCAAATATAAAAAAAAACCTGCTAATTTCTCAAATGGGATTACACATAGCAGCAATTATCACCCCTAATGACCTATTTACAGTCCAGGTGCCAATAGTCACTTTGTGCCATCCCGGGACAGCTGCCAATGCGGGGATGCTGTTTGAATGTTTGAGATGAGATGTGTTTTAAAGTGCTTTGGGTTTCTGAGGCCTTTAACCCATTTCCGTGTTTCTTCCGATTCCTTTCTGACTACGTATGTGTACGTCATTGGAACAGAATCGATTCTAAACGGAATCGAATCGATGCTGAATGGAATCGAAAGTAAAAGGCCATGCGGGAGGGCATGTGGCACAGTTTGGCACCAGCTATCAGAGTGCGGTTGTGTCGCTACAGTTCTATGCGGTGAGTACAATGTCTTTAAAAACAGCGGCGCCATGCCTCTATAAATGAAATTAACGTCAACCGCTTGCGTGTTCCGAATTACAGAGGTGAACAGGACATCCCCTTCCCTGCAACTTGCAGACATCTCGGAAAGGGAAGGGGTTAAGTGCCATACGAATGTAATTATTATTATATTCTTAGCTCTTTCGGTAAAGTCACGTTGAAGGGAAACAAAATAATAAAATATATATAAAACAATAAAAATTCTCACGACGTTTCGACCATAACACAAACGGTCGTCATCAGGTGTGTGGGTTTGCATCAATTTATTTTTAAGCGGTGTATTTATTTATTTATTAAAAAACGTCAGCGCCACGCGCAGCGATTTGGCAGTTTATTTAGAAGGACTAGTCCATCTATGTTCTGATAAAAAGGAGGGGGGAGACGAAAAATTAATGTATGCTGTCTGAAAGCCACTGTAAGTGTGAACAATCAAATAAATACACCGTATAAAAATAAATTAATTAATGCAAACCGACACACCTGATGACGACCGTTTGTGTTATGGTCGAAACGTCGTGATAATTTTTATTGTTTATATATTTTATTATTTTGTTTCCCTTCAACGTGACTTTACCGAAAGAGCTAAGAATATGAATTACTGCAGTCACGAAAGCTTTAAATCAAAATGATTATTATAGTTATGATTTTAAAGAGGGTAAAGTGTTTGTGCTACCGTACCCAAGTGAGAGCGGGAGCCCCAGGCTGCAGGGCCGCATGTGGCTCTGTGCTGATCAGCCCCAGCTGCACAAACGCCTTGGCCACTCTGCAATAGCCCTGCACTCATCCACAGCGCAAGAAAAAACATCCACACAAACACACAGCAATGTATTATTGGTTCTTTCAGTAAAGTCACGCAGAAGGGAAACAATAAAATAATAAAAATATAAAACAATAAAATTCTCACGACGTTTCGACTGCAACACAAGCAATCATCATCAGGTGTGAAAACCACAAAGGTGTGGTTTTCACACCTGAAGAATATGAATCCCTGCAGTCACGAAAGCTTTAAATCAAAATTTTACACAGCAACGCATCAGCTCTCTTTCCCATCATCTCTTTACCCAAGATCGTATAACCCTGCTCAATTAAATAAAAAAAGTGTTCACGCTTATTTGTTACAACTCTGATGTTGCTGGCCCACATGACGTTTTGGGCATTGGGTCTGTGCTCAGCAACTGTGTTTATGAAAAAAAAGAAAAGCTTAACGATGCGGACCTACATTCACACAACATATTCGTACAATTTACAAACGTGGAACGTCCTCTCTGCCTATCAAGATACGCAATATAGGTCAACAATAAACTAACCGTAACGTAATTTATATTCAGCCAGAAAAACCTCACCGAGTCTCAATATTTTCCCTTCAAGGGGATCTTGCATTGGGATATCTGACCAATTCCTTTCTAAAGGAGTGTATTTGCCTGCAGGAGGAAAGTGGAGTTCGTGGAGGACACCCACGTACTTCCATGCGAGTGAGACGTGATATGTTAAGATGAGCAACGGCCACCAGCCTCTTGTGCACCGTCTCCTAATGTGCGATACATGGATGTGACGCTCGTGTCGTGAGTCGTAACGGACTCGCGTCTACGTAGCGCACCTTGTAGCGGAGGGTGCCTCGGAAGAACGTGGTAGTGCCATGCACCCCGTAGTCCTTGACGTAGCTCAGGCTGTCCCTGTTGGGCACCCCCTCGAGGCTGAAGCCAGGCATGAAGTCGATTGGCTCCACCGCATCCAGCACCGAACCTCCAGCTGGAATCTCCACCACCTGTGGGGGCACAGCGCAGACGACGTGCGGCACTTGGCACCGCCAGATTTGGTCTCTGTGTGTGTGTCCGTTTCGCCCCCTGTCTGTCTCTCTCCCTCACCATGTGCTCTTGGGAAGGGATTCCTGTTGCCACAGCTCCCCCCTCTAGTGCCCCCCCCCACCAGTGCCCCCCCCCTACCTCTTCTCTTCCAACTCCACCCCTGTCATAAGCAGCGGTGATCACATGACTATGGCGGCCTGCATTTCTCAAAATATTCGGATGTACATTTTTTTTCCTCGATGTAATTGGGCCAACTAAAATATAAAAAATTCAGCCAGTATTTGGCAAAGTTGATGTTCGAAGCACCCCGAATTTCAATCGATCCCTGCGCTACGCTCCGTGCTGTCACCTGTCCGTGTCTTTGGAAGCGAGCGGGGTTGATGGAGGTGAGCAGCACCCCCCGTGGGCTCCAGCTGAACTTATAGCGGAGAGGGTTGTCCGAGAACTCTGGTGCCGAGAGGCCCCCACAGAATGACACATATGACTCCACCTACAAAGACACACACACACAGATATAGATTAACAAAGACTACCCATATACCCTTTAACAGACTGTTGGGGGAAGTGCTGTTATAGCGAGCATCTATGAGGACCAATATAGATTAACACACACACCCATCCACATTCACACGCACGCTGCACATCACAACAAAGACAAGGATCCCCCGTACAGCCTTAACAGTGTTGTTAGCGAGTGCCTATGAAGGCTGGCACGGCACACGAGGAGAAGGGTAGCCAACACCAAGCCCAGCCGCCTTTGTCTCCCCAATGCTGATGTTAACACACAGCACCAGGTACTTATTTAATGCAGAGTCGATGTAGGGGAGGCCCAGGACCAGTTTAAATATTCGCCACTTATTGGTCGTGAGTGGGAATCCATCTTGAGATGGGTTAGTAGCACAGTGCGCTAACCACTACACTATTGCTCCCCACACAACAACAGCCGCCATTCGCCACTAATTTGTGGTGATGTTCCAACGGCGCTTCTGCCAGGCCAGGTGCACTCCGAGGCCATGTGAAGTGTTTAAGGCTTGCTGACAGGAGGTCACGAGACAGACCAAGGTTCCATGGGTGAATGGACTGAGATAACTGGCAGATGGACTTTTTCCTGTATTGTGCCAACATTTATTTACACTTATACACATACCTACATAGCTCTCATACATCCACATCTATTCATACAACTGTAGCACATGATTCGCTGCTTTTTTATCATTGTCTATAATTATTAGGACACATTAAATATACATGAAGACCCAGACACCAATATATACATTTCCACTGTGTACATTAAGATGTTTTCTTGTTCGTGTTTTTGTTTTTTTGTTTGTTGTGGCTGCACCCGATTCAAGAGCTGAATGGCTCACAGGGCTATACCAAAATAAATCAACTGAAAAAATAAAAATTACCCACTTCTCACCTGGTAATGCATTCTGTATGCTCAACCCATTCCTTGGAACCACCCACGCATCTACTGTTAGACGTTTATTCTCACCATGGTTATTGGCGACCACTCGGCATTGCCCATACCTGGCCATCCATCTCCCGGGCTTGGTCAAAGCACTTCATGGCCAGCATGTGGTCGATGCCAGGGTCCAGCCCCACCTCATTGACGACCGTGATGCCTGCATTCTGGGCACTGAGAGAGACGACACGCATCCCACGTTCCCCCTCAGCCACTGGCGCACAAGACCACGGGAAGAAAGTGAATGGGACTCAACGTTATGCCATAGGGATGCTGCGATTGGTGTGGTCGAAATATTGGAGATAGGTTTTTGAAAAATCCAGTGAAACACAAGAGCCACCTTGTCCTCAGACTCACGGCAGAATGTACATTTTTCTTTGGGTCTTTCGGTAACGAACCTATCTACGTGACATACATTAATGCACATACATCTATGTGACTTTACCGAAAGACCCTAAGAATATGAATTCCTGCAGTCAAGAAAGCTTTAAGTCAAGAATGTACATTATTAATGTACATCTATAAAGTACATACATTAATGCACGTAAATTATGCATGTTGATTAACTGTGAATAACCAAACCAATAATAGATATGTATTTAAAAATAGGTTTTTCCCTATTTTCTGGCAACAAAATTCTCACGATGAAACGTCGTGAGAATTTCATTGTTTAATTTTTATTATTTTATTATTTCCATTCTACGTGACTTTACCGAAAGAACCAAGAATATGAATCCCTGCAGTCACGAAAGCTTTAAATCGAATCAAAACAGGTGGTAAGATGTTAAAACACCAAATTGAAACCTTTTACAAGGAATCATGTCTGCATTAACCACAATGCTTGTGGTCAGAATGCAAAAAAAAAACATGCTCTGATAATACTGTATATGCATTGTCCTTGAAACTGATTGGTCCACACCAGACAGCTTTCTTTTGAGCCTCTGGTCTAACACCGTTTGAGACGAGGTTCAAAAGAAAGCTGTCTCTGGTGTGGACCAATCAGTTTCAAGGACAATGCATATATTGTCAGAGTATGTTTTTTTTATTTAAAGCTTTCGTGACTGCAGGTATTCATATTCTTGGTTCTTTCGGTAAAGTCACGTAAAAGGGAAACAATAAAATAATAAAAATACAAAACAATAAAATTATCACGACGTTTCGACTGCAACACAAGCAATCATCATCAGGTGTGAAAACCACAGCAAGAAAATTTGAAAAAAGTGGCGTTTTTTTCTTAACGTTAAAACCACGGACAGCGATTTTACAGTTTGTTCAGATGGACGAGTCCATCTATGTTCCGAAAAGAGGAGGGGGGAGACGAAAATAATAGAATGCGGTCTGAAAGCCACCGTAAGCGTGAACACAATCAATTAATACCCGAAATGGTTTATCAAATCCTGCCAATGATTGCTAAGCCAGAATCGATCTTCTCGGTTGAAATTGTCTCTGTGTTTGTATATGTGGATAGCCTCATGAACGAATCTCTCATGGTAGCCAGATGGCTTGCAGATAACCTCTGTCTTGGAGAAGTCAATGTCATGTGAGCCCATTGTTTCCCTTTTACGTGACTTTATCGAAAGAACAAATAATATATTGTTTTTTGTTTGCATTCTGACCACAAGCATTCTGGTTAATGCAGACATGATTCCTTGTAAAAGGTTTCAGTTTGGTATTTTAACATCTTAACACCTGTTTTGTTGCCAGAAAAAATAGGAAAACCTATTATCATATTTTGGTACTGGCAAAGGAGGTCTCATGATGATATCTATTTTAATTTATCTGAAAACATTAACCCCCCTCCGGTCTTCGCACTTGATTGGCTCATAAGTGATGACATCGTATTATCCCTCTATTTAAGACTGAAACTGGAGGAAGACTTCTAAATTCTGGCAGGTGTCTGATGATGCTAGTTGTAATGACCGGCAAAACTTTATGGTACTCAAATTGTAAATTTTGCGTATTGACTCTCCAACACTCCGGTGTGCTGAACTAGTAACTAATTGGCACGTTTTGTTTATGTGACAAACCTTACTAATTGGCTGTGTCTGGTGGTGGTGGCGTTACCGACATATTTATATTGACGCAATATAACCCAAAAAAACTCCTCTATTATGGTTATTGGTCGCGAAAGCCCTACACTGCAGAGTACACAATTACACGTGCAATTCATCACAGGTAAGCCCACACCGGCTATACAGGCAAGGTAGTGAACACCACGCCACCGTGGCACCCTTAGAGAATAGTACATGTGGACTCACCTTGTATTAAATCTCAGTTCATCTATCAGGCAGCCCGAGAGAAAAAAGCGTTTTAAATCCCAGATCAGAGTGTCAGGCAGCCCTGAAGAACAGTCTGTGAGGAATCGCCTTGCATTAATTCCCAGTTTAGAGTGTCAAGCAGCCCTGGGGAATAGTTTGTGTGGACTCACCTTGTAACATTTACCTTGTTCAGAGTATCAGGTGGACAGCTAGAATACTTTGTCAATTCACTTTGTTTCTTTCTCAAAAGTATCAGGTAGATACCGAGATTATTTTCAGTTTTATCCTCCTTGTGTACATTCGTTAAACCAAACCGTTAACCCTGGCACTGGGCGAGGGTCCTCTAAAAAAACAATTCCACAACCTTATAAGTTAAATGGAGAACGCCTCCGCAAAGACTTGGGCAGTGCCGTAACGGTCATCATACTGGACCTGCTAATCCATAGATCCCTGGTTCGGTTTTCCCAATGCGGCAGTTGAAACTACTTTTAACATTTTTCTTTTACTATTCATTTTAACACGTAAGGCTCCACTGAGCTCTATAGCTCTTGTTTTCAGAAGTGACCTGGCTATCACAAATGATAGCTCAACGAACTGGCTTATCGTGTGGACATTTCTAGCATCCAAATACTCTAAATGCGTGACGTTGATTCTAAATGTGGAGGGGAAAACCGGAGGACCCGGAGAAAAATCAACGCGCTCATGGGGAGAACATGCAAACTCTAAATAAACAGGCGTCAGGGTCAGGATCGAACCCATGGCCTCCTTTATACCAGGAGAGGTAGCTAACATCTTGCCATCGTGGCACCCTTAACAACAAAGACAGTGGCAGGATTATTAAATCCCCTCACCTTTGTTCACCCAGCAGTGTAAATGCGTACAGCACTATACTCTTTGGTTCTATTGGGTAAAGTCACGTAGGTGAAAATAAAATAACAAAAAATCACGACGTTTCGGCCACAACACAAGCGGCCTTCATCAGGTGAAGGGACGAGACTGTCTGGAGGACAGCGCTGGAGTGGGAGAAGCCACGCTCAGATCACGACCTTTAAGCTGTGTGAGAAGAAAAACACAAAGCGCCTTGACAAAGGAATTAGCATATAATTTAGCATTGAAATGGCTCATTGAAATAGCTAAGTTAAAGTATACACATCCGCAGAGGTACCCCTTGACAAAGAAATTAGCATAGAATTTAGCATTGAAATAGCTGAGTGATTAGCTTGTAACTGGTCACAGAAATAGCTGTGTTAAAGTCAGAGCATATACATTCACCGAGGCACCTAGTACTCATCAAACAGGATAATTTAGCGAAACACAACCACGCTCAGACAGCGGACCTTTAAACTGTGTGCGAGCAAACAAGGTGTTCTGACAAAGAAATTAGCATAAAAATTAGCATTTGATTGGCGGATTTTAGGAAAGAGGTGGTGTACGTGCCGGTGGACTTGCCGTTTGGAGCGGGGGGGGGAAGGGGGGGAGGGGGAGTTTACGGCAAGTCCACCGGCACGTACACCACCTCTTTCCTAAAATCCGCCAATCAAATGCTAATTTTTATGCTAATTTCTTTGTCAGAACACCTTGTTTGCTCGCACACAGTTTAAAGGTCCGCTGTCTGAGCGTGGTTGTGTTTCGCTAAATTCTCCTGTTTGATGAGTACTAGGTGCCTCGGTGAATGTATATGCTCTGACTTTAACACAGCTATTTCTGTGACCAGTTACAAGCTAATCACTCAGCTATTTCAATGCTAAATTCTATGCTAATTCGTTTGTCAAGGGGTACCTCTGCGGATGTGTATACTTTAACTTAGCTATTTCAATGAGCCATTTCAATGCTAAATTATATGCTAATTCCTTTGTCAAGGCACTTTGTTTTTCTTCTCACACAGCTTAAAGGTCGTGATCTAAGTGTGGCTTCTCCCACTCCAGCACTGTCCTCCAAACAGTCTCGTCCCTTCACCTGATGAAGGCCGCTTGTGTTGTGGCCGAAACGTCGTGATTTTTGTTATTTTATTTTCACCTACGTGACTTTACCCAATATAACCAAAGAGTATGGATCCTAGCAGTCACGAAAGCTTTAAATCTAGAAGCGTATAGCACTGTTAATTGATCAATAGGTCATGTGTGGTGGGGTAAAGTGTCGGTACCTCTTCAAAGATGTCTGGCCAGTGTGGAAGAGTAGGCAAACAGAGCTCCCCCGAGTGGAGGCTGTGGCTTGGGCAAGCAATAGCAGCGCTGCAACTTTACTTTTATCGTTACATATGGCCACGTTTAAACTATGAAATGAAGGGGTCCACGACTGTAAAATGCAGTTATTGATGCGCTTTACGATCATTATCGGCGATTACTGCCTCGTGAAACTAGATGCGGCGGAATGGTGGTGCAGAGGATTGTGCACTGCACTATGAATGTGACAAATTCAGCTGCATTCCCATCACGGCTAAGATCGGTAGAATTAGAACCAACCCTGGGCCTCCCTTTGACGAGCTCAAACCACCAAACGTATGAACAAAAAACCTTCATGACTGTCATGACATGGGGAGACCTTCATCCAGCAGTGGATCATCCAAAAGTTGGACGTTAATATTGGACGTTAATATTTGTATAATTGTTAGTGTTATCTTCTTTGGTTCATTCGGTAAAGTCACGTAGAATGAGAATAAAATAATAAAAAATAAAATAAGACAATAAAATTATTTTATTGTCTATTTTTTTATTCTCATTCTACGTGACTTTACCGAAAGAACCAAAGAAGACGAATCCTTGCAGTCACGAAAGCTTTAAATCGAAATTTTGTTAGTGTTATGTTTAGATTTTTTAAAACAGCGTTATCAACGTTGTAACAGGTATATAGCGTTGACACGTTTCTATAATTGAGCAAGGCAATAAAAGCTTCGGAAAAGAGACAATTCCAAGGTGGAGCAGCGTGGGGGAAGGAGCAAGGAACCAACACCATCGTAACCTGCAAGTGTGGTGGTTGGGTCCACGACACAGGTGAAGGAATCACATTTATTTATAAACCGGGTGGTCACTCTCGCTTGGGAGATGATCGCGGCCTCCCGAGCGCTCGTGCGGTGAAACTGAGCGAGGAGCGAGTGAGTGAAACGGGCGCATGGCATCGGTTGCGTACCTGCTCTCCAGGTCCCTCATGGCGGGAGACGTGTAGCTGGCCGTCACCATGTTCACCGAGTGCTCGATGCAGTGCTTGGCCACCATGGGGTGCATGGTGTATGGCAGGAGGCTGCGGCGACACACAAAACAAGGTCCCTCACGCGATTGCAAGAGCGGTAGGAGCCAACGGCCACTGGAGCTTCATATTTACTCATGACTCGTGAAACCATAATAATAATAGTGAGGAAAAGAAAACAGTCTTTACCCTTTCAGGCAAGAATAACAAATAGGAATCAAGTCTGCATTAACCACACATTAGAAAGCGACTGGAGCTATGCGCTTTTAAATCTTCATTGAAAACTCATTCCTTTAAAACTGCTTTTTGCGTTTAGGTTGTTGTCCTTCACCCGCACCTCTGCTAAGCACGGAAATTCAACATACGCACATACATGCTTGTGGTAAAACTGGATACTGGCAACAAAAAGGTCCCATAAATAATACAAGTCCACGTGTGCGTGTAATAACATCGCGGATGTCACTACGTAATGCCGGCTCTAGAGAGGCACGGCGTGCGATGTATTGCCATCGCGGACACCACAATGATGTGGGTGCAGTACCGGCCCTAGAGGGGCTTGGTGAGCGCTGTCCGACAGTGCTGAGTGGCACCACGCTCTGCGTGCAGTGCCGACCCCTACAGGATAGTGTGTGAGAGTGCCGGCCATGGGAATGGGGTTGCCAAGGGCCATGACCCTCTGGTTGACCCTGAAGGACACGTGACCGGTAAAGTCTACGCAGGGCACCCAGGTGGGGGCTAGGGGTGGTCACGTGTCAGGGTCGAGAACCTGCTAGAGGATTCTAGAAGGTGGTCGTGGCTAAGGGCGGAGCCAGCCACGCCACAGAGGATATAAGCCAGGTCCCCTAGTGGCGCCGGCTGCTGTGGTTCATACTAAAGAATCTACGTTCTACGTTCTACGTCCTACAAGAGTCACCAACACGTAGACCGGGACCCAGGCCAGGGTCCGGTCCATCGTAGCTAACTCCAGTGTAATTAGTGTAGATAGCCTGGTGCTCCTCCACCATAGGTTGTTAATGTGTTAAGGGGTAGTACCCCGTGTGTTGGATTTAATAAATGTGTTGCCTCCAAGAAGTGCGGCTGCGACTCAGTTGAACCCACGACATGTGTATTTGTACCAATGCGGCCAGGTGGCTCAGCCGTAGAATTTTCGGAAGATTGCACGTGAAAATCCTGCTTGGAGGTTGACTCAGTCAATCAACTCTCTGGGGTCAATAAAATTAGTAATGCCTCGTGGGGTAGTCAACAGTGATTGTACCTATCAAAAGACTCGCCCCTGACATAGAAATGTGTAGTTTTCATCACGGGCTCAGGGCTATAAACAGGTGATGAGCACCACCACCTCGACTTATGAATATGGATATATAATTCATTTATTTTCTTAACTTTTTGACCAAAAATCCTTGGTATTAGAATAAAAATATTTCTTCTTGATATACATTTTTTTTCAGACTTTAGCAATATCTCAGAAATGTTTTTCTTTATTGGATGGGAAGAACATCATTCCTACACAAATAAAAACAGAGAGCACAGGCAGGCATTCACACGGCACGTCCCAGTGACACCCACACACCTCCGATTATCACGGTTGGCTTTCGCACCAATTAGCATGGTGCGAAAGCATTTCAACATGCATGCATACACACATACATCCCTCCCCACACCTCCACTGGGCCCCCAGTGACGCTCAGCACAGCGATGGCTATGAGCAGATGCAGCAACTGCGGTACAAAAAGTGCACAGTGCTCCATGGACACATTCACAACATTTACAAACAACAGCACTTTGACTGGCGGTGTAGCCGTGTGGTCTCTCTCTGTATGGCCTTGTGGCCTTGGTAACCTGGAGGAGGGTCGTGCGGGGGACAAGTGGTCCTGATGGGATATGGGGTCAGAGACATGACAGCACCTGATGATGAGGTGATGGTCTTTGATGAGGCTAGAGAGCTTCTCCTGCTCCTTGCCGACGTCGATGGTTACCGGCGTGGTGTTTTGGTAGCGCTCGGAGATCTCCCTCACCTGCCACGCGGGGCTGGACGCTGTGCACGCACGCACACACGGGCGCACGGACACACAGCCCAGCATTAGACTACGCAGCGCTGAACACAAAGGCGCAAAGCATTGTGCACTGTAAGCCGCACTTGTGGAATATAATAATAATACTAATTATCATTCATTTGTATGCGAGCCACATCTTAACACCAAAATGGGACGAGAAATTCACAGAGACGCAACATGAATACGATCCAGGGTACCCCAGGTAAACACAACACAAACCAGAAAAAAAACACTACACAGACACAACACGAACCAGCGAGAACACCATAGAGACACAATATAAAAACGATCCAGGGTACCCAGGTAAACACAACACGCACTAGGCTGGGCGACAGTAAACACGAGAGGCCCCCAACATGAGAGAGAGAGGCCAGGGATTGACCACCCAGGTGTCCAAATCACCAATCTTGGAGGACCCCTCAGATCCCACACTCCAGCCCAGGATCCCCTCTCCGTACGTAGACAACCGTACTAATCGGGGGTGCAAGTGAAGGACAACAATTCCCATTGAGTGTGGGAATTGTAACGTGGCGAGCGTGCAGCACGGGGGGGGGGGGGGTGGAGAGAGAGTTGGTACCGATAGTGACGGCGATGTCTGGGTCTCGGGTCAGGTAATTGATGACGGGGCCAGACACGTAGCCTGAGCCCAGCACCAGCACGCGCTTGCTAGCGGCCACGCTCAGGATGCGCGCCCTCGCTCTACATGCGCACATGATCCAGCAAGACACACGCGCACAACAAAGATCTCCCTCGAATCGTACAGGTTGTTGGGGCAAGCGCTGTAGGTGAGCACCTATCAAGGCAGGTATGGCACATGAAGGGGAGGGAGGCAAGCGCCACGCCCGGCCTACTTTGTCTCCCAAATGTTGATGTTTACAGACCGCGTCTGGTAGAGTACTCATTGAAGCCTGAATCGCCTTAAGGGAGGTCCAGGACCAGATATGTGTCACAGGTGTTGTTCGTGAGTGGGAACAGACTCAGGTCACCCGGTTCGTAGTGCGGTGCGCTAACCACAGCACTATTCCCCACACACGCATGTACAAGATTATCAAGTACTAAACAGAATACCGCTTGCAACAAGGAATTGCTTGTGCACGAACACACACATCATGTACACGTGAGCAAGCCTAAGGTCATATGAACACAGGTATCCACTAAGAGTATTACTCCCATAAAGGTAAACAAGTCAAGTTCTTGCCATACCCAAAGCGAGCAATGGGCCATGCTCATGCCAGTTTGCAGTTCGACCCACTGGTGTAAATCTGACATTTAAATGGTAGGAACCAGTTCATCCACAGGAAATCAGTATTCACTTTACACAGCCACTGCTACAGGAAGTCATTTGAAAAATAATTAAGTGTGACGACCACCCAACTGTGCATCTGCCTCTCTCCAGCTTTGCTGTCACGACTTCACCAACAGAACAGCAATGCGTGAAAATGTGACGTGTCACTTAAATGAGGAAAATCAATTGGCACTTAATGGAGCCTGCTCTGTGTCAGAGGAATCAAAAGGAAAATGCATTCTAGAAATGAGGTGATAACCACGATAATGATCGTCTTATTTTTTAAAAGTGCCAGCCACGCAAATCACATCTAAACATTCTGTGGAGTTTGCAACGCTGGCAGTTTCCGCACGGAGGGCGCAGAAAACCACAGACAAGCGGGGAAATTAGCCAGAACCGATTCCCACAATTTGGGCACCGATGTTGGGACGGATGGTTGGTGACCCAGTGCTCACCTGCTGTCTCGTAGCTTCTCTATGTATTCAAATTTAGGTGTCAGCTTGTTGTTTGACGCAATGACAGCCTGGAAATGAGACGAAACAAGTCAGGCCAAAACGGCCCTGTAGCTCAAGTGTAATTATTCCACAATGATGCAAGGTTAAGCTGCGCGCTTTTTGTTTTAACCGGGAAGAGAAAGACAAGGTTCGTGGAGTTTTAATGGCAACATGCGGTAACCCATGTGTGCGTGTGACTAACGTCATGAAGCAGTCATTAGAGAGCCGCATGGGGCTCCGGAGCCGCAGGTTCCCAACCCCTCGGCTAGGTAGAAGAGATTGGGTTTAAGAGAGGAACGGAAGCAGGTTGGTCCCATGCCCCCCCCCTTTCCCCAAGTAGCTAAGGTCACAATACACAGAGAGATCACACGTCAATGCGCTCTTCATATGGTATGTGTTTCATGTTGTATACCAGGGTGCGTTTTGTTGCCGCAACGTGGTGCTAAAGTCCCCTGCACATGATGGCAAGATGTTAACTACCTCACCTGGTATACAGGTTGTGGGTTGGATCCCGACTCTGACGCATGTTTATTTGGAGTTTGCATGTTCTCCCTGTGGGCACGTGGATTTTTCTCCAGGTCTTCTGGTTTTTTTCCTCCACATTTAGAAACGTGCGTTCAGAGTATCTGGCTGCTATAAACGTCCACGTGATGAGCCACTTCGTTGAGCTATAATATGTGGCCAGGTCGCTTCTGAAAAAGAGCTATGTAGCTCAGTGGGCCTTACCTAATAAAATAAAAAGTTTACATTTTAAATCACTCCTGCACGGTATCCATGCTGGAGCCTACGTGCCCCCAAGGAGGCGCGTCCCATAAATTGAGAACCGCTGGCTTCATTCAATGACAAATATTGGGGAGTTGTTTTTTTTATTAAGGCAACGGGCCTTTTGGAAATGGAGACAACATAGTCTTCTCACTCATTACGGCTCATTAACATGAAAAGCTACTCACATCTCGCACTGCAGGAGAGAATTCCGTCTGTTTTTCCAGGGGCTTGTTAGCGTCCGAAGCCAGCTGTCGAAGACAAGAGAGGCACGGTACCAGGATCAGCGAGCACGCAGTAGCAGCCGACCGCACTCACGCTCCACCTTGACAGCCAATACCTTTGTTTGTAACTGGGCCACCATCAGCAGCCCAGGAACTATCTGCCCGAGTCGACTTGAACTGTGTGGTCTGTCTTTGTACAGTGTTTGTGATTCATCATGAGACACGTTTGTGTTTTCTGTTCTGATCTTTCTTTTTGCACTGTTGGTGTATTTTATTTTATTTGTTTGGCTTTTATCATTTTGATGACCTGGGTCATTCTTGCAAATGAGACTCATAAATGGCCTCTTGATCTCTCACCTGTCTGCACAAAATAAACTTAAAACCTTCGCCACTAAATCTACATAATCGTCATTGTCTTCTTATTTGTAAAACGGTAATAAGGGCAAATTACAACATATGCCTCAATGAGAAATCTCCATAAACAGGTTTACGAATGTACATGTGCCATGAACCAGTAACGTAACTCACAAGTACATTAATTCCGATTGAAAACGCATTTCTTTAGAACTGCTTTTTGTGTTTATTTTGTTGTCCTTTACCCGCACGTCCGATTAGCACGGTCGGCTATGTACGGTGCGAAAGAAGTTCAACATACATACATACGTGACATTATTGAAAGGCGGATTACTTTAAAGTGAAACTGATGCAAAAGTGTAACAGTAATGTGATTATACAAAAAAATTCATATGAAACTCCCTTATATTAAATTATATATATATTTGTCTAAACAAGCCCGGCTCTTTAACTAGTACCGCTCATTTTGTTGGAATTTTGTCTGCTTTCCGAGCAGTTATTTGTTTTTCAGAAATCAGGAAGTAGTATTGAGGGTTGGCAGAGTGCTCGGTGCCACCATGGAGAGCAGTTTTGGGGGGAATTCTGCTCCATTCCTGCCTCAGCGCATGGTCCAGGCCATATATTCACCCCGTGCAAAGAGCCCATTAATGCTCAAACTTTGCTTGTTTGGGTAATAAGGCAGGCGGCCGGGTACCCGCAGTAGATCCTGTCACAAGAACGCGGCCACCAGCCTGCGCACACCCTTCCTTCCGTTTCGCACAAAACAAGCTCAACCGAGCTTGCAAAGTCTGCTGCTATATAAACCACTTGAGTGTAAAATACACGGTGTTAAAATATAACCCATTCCACACACTTATTTGATGCTTCATTCCTCCTGGTCCTTGAGTAAATGCCAAGGGGAGGAAATGCCTTTTGCTCAAAGCTGGCACAGCAAGCATTGTAGTTGGCTACCGCCCAGACACCCAACTATACATACAGTTTGGAATGTATGAACACAACACAGTGTACACAGCTCTTTTCATTCCTGACCAAAAACGACTCTGCCCCTGAATGTGAACTTTTAACGTTTGGCTTCCTTTTCCTTTTTGATAAAAAAGAGAGACTGAAATGTTTTAAATGTTTAACAAAGACATTCACAAAATCACAAATTCCTGCCTGTTTACACACTCGTGCAATAATTACCCCAAGCAATATTTGAATGTTACTGCAAATTAATTTGACTATGAAAGGTTTTGTTTCAAGTCATTTGTCCGAGCCAACGTTTGTTACTGCAAATATATTTGATTTAGTGTTATGTTTGTGCACCATTTTTCTGAGTTCTTCTGTAAAGCGGGTGGTTTTTGCTTCGATTTCTATTTGCTTCATTTGTTGTTGTACTTCGTTCTTATGTTACTGCTCTTGTCATGTTGGTGACAAGAGCAGTAACATAAATGAGTCTAATGATACCTGTTTCACAAGCTGCCACCTGGGATAAACAAAATGTAACTTGAAACTTGAAAAACGTTACCACCCCAGTCTGGGATATCATTTGGTGATTACGAATGGGAACATTGCCTAAAAAAATGTAGACACCCATATAATATACGAATTGTATCTAATTACTATTTCTTAATATCTATTCTTAATTGTGCTTCACATTTATTTTAAATGGCAATTTTGGAATTTTTTTTTTACGAAATGGAGCTTGCAGATTATTTGTTGTACTTATTTAACTGGAGGGCTCCTCTGAAAAAGACTTCTGGTTGCAATGAACGCTTGTCTGGTTATATATCTCAGTGTGTATGTGTAGTGACTGGGAATGTCATTGTGTGGTGCCGGGCTTGCAATGCAACGGCGGGATGTATACTGTTGTGTATACACCCTGGACATGAGGTGTAGTACCAGCCCTATTGGGGGCTTGAGTGAGCGCTGGTTAAGCGCGGTGGCACCACGCACAGAGTGCGGTGAGAGGGTGTCAGCCAGCTGGGGTTACGTTGGGGGCATGATACTCTGGTTGGTCTGGGGACATGTGACCGGATGATACTGGAGGGGGGCAACCGGTGGAGGGGGCCAATGGGTGGTCACATGGTCCAAGAAGAACTCTCGAGAGCCTTCGGGCAAGGGCGAAAGAGATCGAGGTGGGCGGGGCGAGAGGCGGAGCCAGCCCCAGCCCGGCCCAATATAAGGGGGGGGGGCCCTGAGAGGGGCTCTGGGTTTTTATTGTTGGAGAGGCAGGAGATCCACGTCAAGCTCGAAGAAGCCTCCAGCCACGCGGTCCGGGACCCAGCTTGTGGTCCGGACCGGGATAGCGGAACCGTGTCTAGTTCCGCCGTAGCGTGGTTAGTTGGGTGGTCACCACCTGAGAGTGTGTTGTGTTAATAGACTGGAGTAAGTTGTGCTAATAGTTTAATAAAACGTGTTGCTCCCAAGACAACGTCTGCGACTCAGTTGGACTCACTAGATATGTAGACAACGATATCAACATCATTGTGAGGACCAGGTATGTAACCATTCGTCCATCCATATATTAAAATTGATAATTATTTGAAATTGATGCAAATTATACGGTAACATTATATCTAGGCTAATGAATCAGACAAAACAATAAACACGATACAGAAAACATGAGCAACAATACAAAAGAAATGAGAATGGATCGATTGATGAATAAAATGATTACCTCGCAAAGAGACAATTAAGAGGCATTCGAGTGCACACGTTACATGCCCACTGGTGCCTCTGCTTGTGAACGCCATACCAAGCAAATAGGTTCTTGGTGAGAGCTGCTGCAACGCCGCGATGTGAGGGTGGCATTGCACCTTGCCTGGGATGGAGCACCCAGCTCCTACCTCGCTGCACTCAGCAAATCAGCAGTCAAAGGTGACTGATGATCCAGCACTCACCAATTCACTTCAGCCACACTCTCACCGGTGATCAGTTACCACCTTATCACTCTTCTGTTGCTACTACCATGATTACCGTTCCCGTGAACTTCACTAATTGATTCTTCCACCCATGTTGAGAACACACTCACTCACCTACACATTCACCTACACACTCACTCACCACACTGCAGATAACAACGCTTCTCCTTCTGCTTCTTCCCTCGCACTGCTCCACTTTGGAATTCCCTCCTCCCGTTGTCTATTTTCCCAAGCTTTTATAACAATAACCTTGCTCAATTCAAGAAACGTGTTACACTCTTATCTGTTTACAACTTTGATCTGGCGGTTTGTTGCTGAACGCTTGACTTTTTGGCCCTGTGCTCAGCACTTGTGTGAAAAAATAATAATAATTACCATCTGGAAAATGTACGGATATAGCCGGTCTCCAAAGTACTCCGTCGCCTCCACGGGCATCTGTGCAGGCAGCTGGTCGATGGAGCAGATGAGGATTCCATCCTCATTCACACTGCACCCAACATGCACAGCACAGCATGCGCTCACGTGGAGTCGTAACGTTCAGTATCCGGCACGCACAGCACACGCATTGTGATCTCACATCGAGTCGTAACGTTAAGTACCCGGCGCGTGCAGCACACGCAGTGTGATCTGATGTCAAGTCGTAACGTTCATCACTCAGTGGTGGTGCATGGCTCGTGGGGCGCCAGCGGTGGTGTGGGCCAGCGGTGGCGCGTTCGCCATTTGTTGCAGAGTTCGTGGTTCCAATCCGACAGACCGCCCCTGGTTGTTACTGCATCTCGTTAACCATAAGCAATACGCGCCGTCCGCTTGATGGTGGATGTTAAAGATCCCGTGACGTCATTTATGAATGAAGAGCCCGTCCTTGTGCGACGTCACTGTGAAAATTTGCTAAATTGTAAAAATCATACGAAAAATTACTCAATTTGAATAACACAAAGCAACATCTCCGCCTACTGTGAAAATAATGCAGCGTGGTGAAGTGGTCAAACAATCCGCATGAATGGCATCGTGTGGGGATGCCGTCATCTAGCAGTGGGCTAACAGACTATCAGCCATTCTAACCTACATGGAAGTACGGATTTCAATTAAGCACTAACGGCATTGCTCCTCATCCGTGTGAATAACGTGCTCTGCTGTTATCATGGCACGCCTACGCTAAATATTCTACTCATGGCCACAGGCAACATATTATTTGTGGTGGAAATAATTCGTGCGTGTAAGTTCTCATCCCAGCCGCGGATATTCTGCTAGGTGTAGAGAGATCATGACAGAAAATGTTGACTGTCTTTTTTTCCAGAGCATGTCATATTAAACCACGCATCGTTAAAAGCCCTGAGGACAAATAATTAAGTTTCCAAGGAATTACATGCTTTACTTCTTTGCAGTCTGCTACAATACATATCATATAGAGTTAGGAACTTGAATTGTTGTTTGCATTAAATTTAAGCAATCACTCTTGCACCATTAAAAGCGATTAACATTGCATATATTGGTCGGTGGGCAATCAAGATTAATGCCCTCCTAGTAGCACTTGCTTGGACTGGTTTACACTTTGACTGCGTTTTATCAGCAAGGTGTGGCCAGGAGGGCCAATTCAACTGGGAGCCACAATGCCATGGGCAGGAAAATATATGTGAGGCAAAGGCCAAGAACTGAGGCCGTTATCTCTCAGGATTGTACCAAACTCCTTCCACGCCTGAGCGCTGGTTGCAGACACGGGTGGCAGCGCAGTGGTAATGCTCATGGCCTCACAGCAAGAGGGCCCTGGGTTTGTACGCATGTATGTTGAACTTCTTTCGCACCGTACGTAGCCAACCGTGTTAATCGGAGGTGCAGGACAACAAACTAAACTCAAAAAGCAGTTATAAAGAAATTCGTTTTCAATCTGGATTTAAGAGCGCACAGCTCCCAGTGGCTTCCTAATATCAGAAAGAAGAGCTTTCCAGATGGCCGCAGAAGCGCATCCGAAAGCGCGCGATGCGGTGACCGTCTTTGTTCGATTGATAGCCAAACCCCGCTGCAAGGGTTACCGGAGTACGCTTAATGGTTTATGTTCCTTGACGAAATCAGCAAGATATTGAATCCTAACTCGGGTGCCTTGTGTGTGAAGTCTGTATGTTGTCTCCCTGCCTTGCATGGTTTTCCTCCGGGTTCTCCGGTTTCCTCCCATAGCTTAAAAAAAAATAGTACACTAACTGGTATTGGCCAAAAATCCCAAGGCTGAAATATTACCTGCAAATTACTCAATTAGGACTACACACAGAAATATCGCATCCTTATAACAAATACTTGGCACGACCATCCTGAAACAGAGTGTTGAAACTCGGTGAGGCTTTGCTGGAATTAAGCAAGCATGATAATAATAATAAAAAATAAGCACTGACCTGTTGTGGTGGAAATTCTGGTTAGCGTCGTACATGCAGAAGGGCGCGTCGATGGTGGTGCACTCGGTCATGAACTCAATAGAGCCGCCAGGATCCGCTGAGATGTCACAGATGCCCAGGAACCTGCCGGCCGACAGGACACTCAGTCACTGCCCCGCTGACGGGACACTCGGTCACTACCCCTCCGTCTGCCCCTCCGATGGGACACTCGGTCACTGCCCCTCCGACGGGATACTCGGTCACTGCCCCTTCGATGGGACACTTGGTCACTGCCCCTCTGACAGGACACTCGGTCACTGCCCCTCTGACAGGACACTCGGTCACTGCCCCTCTGACAGGACACTCGGTCACTGCCCCTCTGACAGGACACTCGGTCACTGCCCCTCTGACAGGACACTTGGTCACTGCCTCGCCGCCTCTACGCCGAGGCAATCGTGCTTCTCGTCGCTGTCGGGAGCGTGGCGGAGCTTGTCAGTAAGTCTGCGCATTGAAGGCAAGGGTTGCTCGATCACTGATTTCATTGCGCAGCACCCTCATAGCACCTTCAGGCAATGCCTTGGACAGAAATATCTAAATCAATAGCATACTATATCACTGCCCTCTCAGATGGCAGGTCCAAAATTGTGCATTTTTAGCATCACCTCCCCCATGCATGGATTTTCTCTGGTAAATCCACTGTCCTTGTACGTGCAAAAACACTCATATAAATGCCAAAAATGGAAATGTAGGACTCTAGAAAAATTGCTGAGGGTGCCTTACCTAAGTCATGGATGACTGTTGGTAGAAACCATTCAGACTGTTACCTTTGCCCAAAAAATGAGGCAAAGAGAAACCCTCGCTGTACCTCGTCACACAGAAAGCATCTCATCATTATAGGAACTAGTGCCAGGGAAGAGCACAATTACTCCCAGCATCACTACCCCATGCTCTAGTTGTGCGCCCCCCCTTAGCCTCTGCGAGTGAGACCAAAGGAACCTATCTCCCATCTTCGGCAGAGGATTCTCAACAATGCCAAATATGGCGACATGGGCCCTGGCTTCTTTTTGGAGAGAGAAACGAACATTTATCACAGGCGTGATTAAGACGCATGCATCGTGAGTGTAAATGATATATTTTAAATCTATAGATCGGCCACGTCTAGCTGCCAGGCTCTGCGGCGGTTGATCGCTGAGCCAGGGGCGAACAGACATCGCGAATTGCAGGTCAACGCAAAACCTGACAGTAACAACATTAGTGCCGTGGCTCCATCCATCCACCCCTGGGGTGCCTCGGAGTCACCGCGTCGCTCGGCACTCGTGCCGCGTGTGGATGTGCTGCCGCGTCCGTGCCTGTGCGGGAGATAGGGGCAGCCCTTGACAAAGGTGTCCGCCTCGGAGCCCTCTGCCAGGTGCATGGGGGTCATGAGGCGCTGGGCATCCTCCTTGCTGAGCAGCCGAGGGGTGTCCGGGTCCCAGTAGATCCCATTCACCAGGCACGTCGTGTACGGGGCAATCTGGGAAGGTCAACCCACAGTGGTGACGTCGTCAAGGACAACTCTTCCCCAGTGACGCCACAGCAACCACGACTCCCCTTCTCCCGCGGTGTCCTTTTGCACACTCATCTTAATACATCGATCCCAGTTGCCATCTGATCATCCACCTCCTGAGCTCACTGAAAGCGCCTCTCTTTCATCCGCGCCTGTTGCTGCAAACTGCTTCACCAGAGCTCCGACCGCCCTCGCCTTGTGAGCTGTTCTCCCCACCATCTTGGCCCTCGAACTGCCAAGGTAATAATAATCGTAATAACAATAGACATTGTCAATTCACTGTTGGATCAAGGCCTGTTGGTCTCTGTGGTTTTGTGGAGAGGAAACCCAGGACCAGTTCAGGTATCAAGTGCCATTTGTTAGCTGTGGCTGTGAATTGAACTCCGGTAGCCGTGCTCATGGTGTGATTTACCACTACCTCTGCCAAGATAGTTCCTTGAAAACTCGAGTGAAACACAAGAAGAGCTCCATTTAAAGCTTTCGTGACTGCAATGATTCATCTTCTTTGGTTCTTTCGGTAAAGTCACGTAGAATGAGAATAAAATAATAAATTGATAAAATAAAATAACACAATAATATTCTCACGACGTTTCGGCCACAACACAAGCGGCCTTCATCAGGTGAAGGGAGCGAGACTGTCTGGTAGGACAGCGCTGGAGTGAGAGAGCCACGTTCAGATCACGGCTTTTAAGCTGTGTGAGAGGAACAAAGAGCCTTGACGAAGGAATTAGCATAAAATTTAGCATTGAAAAGGCTGAATGATTAGCTTGTGACTGGTCACAGAAATAGCTATGTTAAAAGTTAAAGCATACACATCCGCAGAGGCACCCATTGTTAAAAGGAATTAGCATAGAATTTAGCATTGAAATAGCTAAATTAAGGCATTCGCTTGTAACTGCTACAGAAATAGTTACGTTGAAGTCAGAGCATACACATTCACCGAGGCACTTAGTACAAATCAAAACAGGCGAATTTAGCATTGAAATAACTGGGTGATTTGCTAGTGACTGGTCACAGAAATGACTACAAATCTGAGCTATTCACAGTACTATATAGTGAACCAATAAAAACTAAAATATAAATTACCTTCATGTTATCAATAAACTCTATATTCTCCAATCAGCTAAGCTACCAACCATAAGTCGTTATATATCACAATGCTATATGGCGAAATCCACCCAATTCTCCTGTTTTGATTTGTACTAAGTGCCTCGGTGAATGTGTATGCTCTGACTTCAACGTAACTATTTCTGTAGCAGTTACAAGCGAATGCCTTAATTTAGCTATTTCAATGCTAAATTCTATGCTAATTCCTTTTAACAATGGGTGCCTCTGCGGATGTGTATGCTTTAACTTTTAACATAGCTATTTCTGTGACCAGTCACAAGCTAATCATTCAGCCTTTTCAATGCTAAATTTTATGCTAATTCCTTCGTCAAGGCTCTTTGTTCCTCTCACACAGCTTAAAAGCCGTGATCTGAACGTGGCTCTCTCACTCCAGCGCTGTCCTACCAGACAGTCTCGCTCCCTTCACCTGATGAAGGCCGCTTGTGTTGTGGCCGAAACGTCGTGAGAATATTATTGTGTTATTTTATTTTATCAATTTATTATTTTATTCTCATTCTACGTGACTTTACCGAAAGAACCAAAGAAGACAAGAAGAGCTCCTTACCCTCAGACTCAATGCGAAAGCAACCCTAACCCCAGCAAGGGTGCCACATGGTAGCGAGATATTTACTACCTCACCTGGTATACAGGATGTCGTGGGTTCGATCCCAACCCTGATGCCTGTATATTTGTAGTTTTCATGTTCTCCCCATGGTCGCATGGATTTTCCTCCGGGTCCTCTGTTTTTTCCCTCCACATTTAGAATCATCATGCGTTTAGAATATCTGGCTGCTATAAATTGCCACGTGATAAGCCATTACATTGAGCTATCATTTGTGGCCAGGTTGCAGGTCTGCATTAAACCATAGCAGTGTCCAAGTCTTGGTGGAGGCATTCTCATGTAAAGTCTAGGATGTGGACATTTTTGAACTAAACTATTTTTTTTATTTTACCAGGTAAGGCTCACTGAGCTATATAGCTCTTTTTCGGAAGCGACCTGGCCACAAATGATAGCCCAACGAAGTGGCTCATCATGTGGCAATATATAACAGCCGAATACTCTAATAGGCATTTTTATAAAAATGGATGGAAAAACCGGAAGACCTGAAGAAATAGCCACGTGATCACGGGGAGAACATGCAAACTCCAAATATACAGCAGACATCAGGGTCGGGATCAAACCGACGACCTCCTGCATACCAGGTGAGGTAGTTAACATCTCGCCACTGCGATGCCTATACCTGCTGGTTGAAGCGGGAGGTGTAGCGCTTTGGGTAGATGTCGTACTCTTGGGCATCGTAGATGTCGTCCGTCTTGCGCACCAGGTGGTGGTGTCGGCTCAGCACTGTTCCATACACCTTGCGTGAATCTGCCACGTGCACAAACGAGCAGAAATTGGTCACGTGTAGAAGTTCCTTGATGAAACAACGTGGACATCACTTACTGCACTGCGTCAGCGGTACTTACATTTTGAAATGCTGTATAATGCATTTTTTCCCAAACGAGGCAAAATGTGTGGACCCTTCAGTGAGCAGCATCATCTGCCAACAGCAATCCATTTGCAGATGCAATTCCAATTGGGTACACTGCGCGAAAGGTGTCTGCACAACCTGGAGCAGCGGGATAGCACAGCGACACCGAGCTGATGATCTCTGATGAGGGTAAAATCCATGACTTTGCCATGTTACGTCACTGCCATGAAATCTGTACAGGCCGTTCGTTGATTCATTAACGGCGGCCAGTTAGAACAGGCCACTCTGCACTCACATCATCGGTAACAGTCGCAGGGCAGCATGGGATTCCCACAATTCCGAGTGGCTATCACTCCACTCATTCCTGCATGCGAATCTCGTTTTATACACCACAAGGCTTGGTTAGAAGTTGTGCCTTTAGTAAAGCACTAATGTATTATATAATGCACATTAAAGCCACCGTGATATAATTTGCATTAGAGTGCCAACGAGTGTGTGTCCTAGAATACAATTGTCAAGAAGATTCTCACAAATGCCCGTGCACACGTAGTAAATGTGCCCTTAGGAGGTATGTGCCCTTAGTAACTAAAGTCCGTCATATTTAGAAAATAATTACATTTTAAAACACTTCTATGTTGCACTATTGCTTTGTGTACTACAGTAATAATAAAGTAATATTAATTTACACCTCGCTGCAGAGTAACAAAACTTATGCGGCAGCACGGAAGATGTGAAGGAGGTGCGGTGGGGTTCATTATTCTCGCGTTAACTGTGGCACGGAAGACGGAGTTCAGGAAGGGGGACCGTGTAAGGGAAACGGTTCCCTTTCCCCCTGGGGGGGGGGGGGGGGGGGGGGATGGGTACGTCTGACTCGCAGGGTTGTGAGTTAACATCCCAGTTGAGCGGTCAACTCAAGGTTAATAAAATAAGCACCACTTTTTTCGAGGTGAACAGTGGCTATTGTTGGGAAAGAATGATTCCCTCTATAAGCAATGTGGAATTTCCTCAACTGGCTTAAAACTACCAAAAGAGACGATTGCGATCTGCCACCCAAGACAGAGACACGTTCTGTCTATAACAAGTCTTGCCGAGTTACGATCTTCAGCACCAAGTGTTCACATTGCGGTGGATACACAAACATTTACAGCATCTTTCTGTTACTCCCCCACACTACCGCTGTTACTCTCCCGCGTCACGTCTCTTGCAAGTGAGATAATCGAAGGTGAAAGTGGCAGTACCTGTAAAACCATCGTGCGCAAACTTAAGTGAGTTTCAAAGAGCGAGTCAAGGTTCGAGGTCACAGAACGGGTAGGGCGGCATCACACATCGTCAAGCGCAACGAAAAGCAGCGACATCGCTATCGTCAGCCACCCGCCTCGCACCTCCTTTGAGAGACACGTGCTTCAGGTCGTAGGGCTCCACGTACTCGAACGGCAGCTCGTTAAAGATCTCCTGGGCTCCCTGCAAAACGGAACCAAATACCAGCACCAACCAATGAACGCACGGCACGCACAGTCCGCTTGCAACGTTACCTGCACACCCACCTCGCAGTGATGAGCGAGACAACAAACTCAGCACAAAAAGCACTTCTACAGAAATGAATTTTTAATCTATATGATTTAAAAGTGCATAGCTCCAGCGGCTTCCTAATATCGGAAGAGCAGTCTAGATGGCCGCAGAAGCGCATCTGAAAGCGGTGACCATCTTTGTCCGATGTCCTGCCAAAGGGGCTATGAGGATGACTAGAGTTCACATTATGGTTTATATTCCTTGACGAGATCAACAAGCTATTGTGGTCAATTTTTGGCAAGCACTTTGTGTGTAATGTGTGCGACCTTATAATTTCCAGGGCCTATATTTATATGTATGTGTGCTGGATGGTGGTGGCGCATGCCTGCAATTGAGCATTGTGTGATATCCCCAACCTGGCTACGGCTTGGGAGGCTTTCAGGTACACGTTTCTCCAAATTCTAAAAAAAAAGCTCCGTTGGTTAGATTTAAAACTAAAGGCAACCGCCCACTATGGTTTGATCCTTTGATTACAAAGCTCATGAAAACTAGGGACAAGGCTTGGGCATGTGCTCAGAAAACTAATTTGGTCAATAGCTGGCTAGAATACAGGATTTTAAGGAATAGATGCGTCAAAAAAATACGGCATGCAAAAAATGCCTACTTTTCCTCCACTCTCCAGGAATCACATGGAAATGCCAGGATTTTTTGGAAAACAATCAAATGTATCGAAAAGGCATCCAAAACGGATAATCTGCCCGCTGAGCTTAACCGAAATGGGGAATATTTTTTAGATTCCAAAAAAATAGTTGACAATTTTAACCTTCATTTTTCTGAAGCTGGTAATCTTTTTGATAATGTATTGGGAGTCACCCCTGCTCACGCAAATTCCTAGACCCCTGTCCAAACTACTACATCTAAAACAATCTGTGTTCTGAAAAAAATACAGCACCACATCTGCTGCATTAGACTCTTTGAATCAAATTTACAGTAGCCTTGATAATAAGCAGTACTGTGCCTGTCTTTTACTTGACTGTCCAAAGCTTTGATACAGTAGACCACAACACCCTGCTTAGTAAACTAAGTTGCCTCGGTTTTTCCAAAAACACAGTAAAATGGTTTAAAAAAATACCTCTTTTCTCGGACCCAAACTGTATTCACAGATGGTTGGAGGTCAAACAGTGTTAAGATAACAAAAGGGGTTCCACAGGGTTCCATCCTCGGCCCCCTCTTGTTCTCTCTTTATGTCAATGACTTGGGCACTAACCTGGATCATTCCAGGGTAAATCTTTTTGCAGATGACACGATACTGATTACTGCTGGCCGCTCTCCGGATGACGTGATTGCTAAGCTCCAGGGTGATTTCAACAAACTACAACATCAGCTAGTTGCTCTTAAACTAGTCGTGAATACCTCCAAAACCAAGGTGCTATGCTTCTCACCAGGACTAAAGCAGGAAATTATTTTTCCCCAATTACATACCTTAAATAATGATCAAATAGAGCAAGTCAAGATCTATAAGTATCTTGGGGTCATCCTCAATTAAAAACTGAATTTTGAAGATCACATTTATTATATTGGTAAAAAGACAAAAATAAAAATTGGTTTTCTGTATCGACACAAGCACTGCTTCCCCCCTATGTTCCGTTTGGAATTGATAAAAGCTACCATACTGCCTCTAATTGATTACTGTGATATCGTGTATAAATCATCCCCAAGTACTGTACTGAAGAAGCTTGATTACATCTATCACTCGGCCTTAAGATTTGCATTGAACTGCCCATATAGGACTCACCACTGTGATCTCTACATTGGGTCAAACTTAACATATCTTAATGTTCGACGGCTTGTACACCAGATCTTATTTATTCACGATGTACTTACAAAAAAATCCGCAGACTAACTGCTGGATCTCCTCTCTGTTTCAAAGAACAAATTTGACCTCAGGTCTTCGCTCATTTACAAGCTTCACATTCCCTAGTGCCGTACAAAACTGGAGGAAGGGCCTTTGCTATTGATGCCCCCAGGGTCTGGAATGCTATTGCCAATAAACTGCAACTTGAATTGCTACCAATGAGATCTTCTCTCAAAACTGCTCTAGAGGAGTTGTACACCCCTAGCTGCCACTACTATTCATTGGCGTAAAATAAAATGTTTTCGCTCCGGATGACGCTGCAAAGTATTATCTGTATTTTGATTTAGCGTGCTGATCTCAAAGGTGCATTTAAAAATTTGATACTCCGACTGATGCTTCTGTTGTTGTGGAGTAACTCATGCAGCCAGCTATGACTCTAGGATTTGGTGTTACATGTTATTTATGTAGTTTATTGTAAAAATTCGGTCACAGTCCCTGTGATCACTGTTACGTTGCAATTATGGCTTTATTTTTTGGTGATTTAGAAAAGTTTTTTTGGTTTGGACATGTTTGTTTTGTTGTAGTACGGAGTTAGACTGATGGCCTTAATCTAAGTTTTCTTGTGGTTGTTGTGGTTGTTTGACTTGCATCCCACTGGGATTTTTTGCACAGCGTTCGTGTACGGTGCTTTTTTTCAGGAATATTTTGCTGTTTTTTTCATGGATTTTCTGTTTGCACAGTCAGTCACTTTAAGATGTTTTCTTGTTCGTATTTTTGTTTGTTGTGGTTGCACCCGATTCAAGAGCCGAATGGCTCACAGTGCTATACCAAAATAAACTGAAAAGAAACTGAAGGTTTGAGAGATCACACAAAAAGTTGTGAAATTTCCTTCCAGGAGAATGTGGTTCAGCAAAATGTGGACTATCATCCATCCCTTCTATATGAGATAGTGTTGCCTCCTCACACGCGTGGGTTTTTCTGGGCGCTCCGGTTTCCTCCCACACATAAAACATACATTAATGAACTGAACAGATCTTAATATATAGAGGACGGTGGAGCTTGGCCAGGTGGTGGCGCTGGCTCACCGCATGGCGGCTGCTGGTCTGTGGTTCCTCGTGCCTCTGAGGCACTCACTCATCGAGTGACTGAATATAGTGCTCACGCGCTACAAGTTGACATTATTATTACTATTACGTATACAGTAGATCATCGATTACCCGGTCGCTTCAGGGGGAATGTGGCGCCGGATTTTCAAAAACTCTAGATAATCACGATCATTATTTAAAATTGCTTAATTTTGCACATTTTTGCATACCATTATGTGTTTAGGTGTTGTCTCGTGTTTTCTTTTCATGATTCACTGTACCGTACTTACCACTCCAATCTCAAAAACTCTGCCGTGGGTGATGTTCCTAGTTCATATTACGCTAATTTCAACAACATGTGTTTGACGATCGCCGAATTACACGCACTTTTCGTCGGATCGCGTTGTATATATTTTCTGTTTTTATTACTGTAGTTAATATTCATGAAAAATGTATATAGTGCATTATTTTCATTGTTTAAGTTGTTGTATGTAGTGTGTAAAATGTACTGCAAATATAATATTGTACACCGAAATCAATCATAGTTACTTTTTTTGTCACGCACGTGGTGTCGATCGCCGGACTGGTTACAGCCTTTGGAGCGGTTTTGCCGATTTCGCCAGATCGGCCCGGGACCGCCAGATAATGTTGTAAGCCGGATAATTGCACGCCGAATAATTAATCGATAATCAACTGTATATATAAATATATAAATATGTCACCACCCATCAAAGTCACTTGAAACAAAGAGGAACGAGATGCTGGGATGTGCGTCGCACCCGAGAGACGTTGCCGGTGCCGGTGAACACGAACGTGATGGGGCCGATGGATTTGGGCATGAGCCCCAGCGCGATCTCGTAGCCGGCGTCGCGCACTGCCTGGATGGCCTGGTTGCTGTTCCTGTAGTTGTGCGCCATGCCAATGTGCTGTCTCAGACACAAGGCGACACACGAGATCGACATCAACGCAGGGGCTTGCGCTAAAACAACATGCATTCCCCCCGCACATAAGTACGATCGCTCCGCATCAATACTGTGCGATTCTCGATGCAAGAAAACCTGCATTTCCGTTTAAGTGCTATGAAGAAGGGTCATTGATAGAAACGTTGCATGTTATATATGTTTTAAGTAAGGACAAATGTGTTGAGTCTTTGGTTGCTTGTGCACCACTACGAACACAGCAGTATCACCAAATAATGCGTTTCATTGATTCTAAACTTAGTGAGCTCAATCACAATAAAGTACAGTTCTATTTATTACAAGTTAATAGTGGAATCTATATTTTTAAAAAAGTTGTACCTACTCATTTATAATTCAGAAACAAATTCCCAAGAATGTCCTTCTTGACCTCAGCAATAATTATTTCGTTTTATTGATGCCTGGCACCATTTGCTTATAGATTAAATCAACCCGCTCTTCCTACAACCTGATCCTCAGGTTGATGCCTGGCACCATGATCCTCAGGTTGTGCATATATTTGAACTGCTCCATCCAGGATCGACGTGTGAAAGCACTGGTGCTGATCTGTTCCATGACCACATGTGCATGCCAATATTCAAAACCCCACTTCTGTACCCAGAGCACTGAGCAGTGTGTGCGTGTACAAAATTCTCACGATGAAGGGCGTGTGGTGTCCCAGAGCAAGCAGGCGCAGGCCCAGGCCATGCAGGATGTTGATCATGCCTGGTGCACAAACAACAAGTCAAGTCAATTTTATTTCTGCTTACACACGTTATGGCTTTTTGGCACAAATCTGCCACTCAAAGCACCATCACATTACTACTTAAACTTAAACATTGAATCAGATTCTTTATTTATCCTGGAGGAATCCGATTAGCTATGAAGCTATTTTTCATAGATGTCCAGTAGGGGTGGGTCACAATAGACCATTCTGGAGTATGAGTAATTGGGATAATAGGCAGGCGAAAAAAAATATTAAGAGAGTTGGGGCGCTAGGAAAATAGAAGTGTGTGCAGACTAAAGGAAGGCAATCTCGAGTGCACAACTGCTGAACGGCGATGGGACAGCCGCTGCATGGAGATATGTCGCTATTTAATAGAGTGGTGCCAGGTGGGGAAGAACAAGGGGGGGGCAGGTAATTGGAGAGTGATATAAAAAGAAGAGAACCAGTTTTGGGGAATTCTGTGGGTTATGAGCGGGGGGAAGGCGTGGTGGTGGAGCAGAGTTGCGGGTGGGGAGGCTGGTGGAAGGGGTTTAGGCATGACAGCGTGCTGGTGCCACATACCCAGTTGTCCCATGCCCAGGTGGCACGCACACGGGACAGATTTTGACATTATAATTTTTGTGAAGTTGGAATGTACCTTTGATCATAAAAGCAAGACAGCATAGGCAGCTCCACAATATAGAAAACCACAGGGTAAATTTCAAATCACCCTAATGACATAGTATCCCATGATATAACTACTCAACCCGTGATATAAATTATCTGATACGTGCATTGTCTTCTAAATGTTCGCCTTTTGGTGTTCTCTGCTCTGATACTGGCGAGACTAGGCCATAAAGAAGGCTGTCTCTGGTGTAGGCCAGACAATTTCAAGACAATGCATTTATTTTCAGAGCATGTTTATTTGCATGTTCACCACAAGTACGTGCAGTTAATACAGTCTTGATTCCTTGCAAAATGTATCTATTTGGTGTTTGAACATCTTAACACCTGTTTTATTGCCAGAAAGGGTAAAAATAAAATTTTCAAATTAAATATCGTCTTCCCAAACAAACATTACATTCTTTATGCTCCAATATTAATTAAAATTCCTTGCAGCAACTCAATCTGATTTGGGCCACGATCTGATGATTTACTGTAGATCTGCAGTCATTCCAAGTCCCCCAATCCAATCCGATAAAGAAAATATGCAGATACAATTATTATTATTATTTTTTAATATCACGTTCACCCTGTCGAGACACGCTGAGCATGAAAATACTGAAATCCGTTTCGTGAAGTCCTCAAGGTAAATGAGACGGGTGTGCATAAAAAAATCTCCGCAATGGGCGTTACCTGTGAATCCAGCCCACTTGCCAAAGGCCACAACACGCACTCCTTTGGTGTCCACCATCTTCTCGTAATCAATCAAGCGGATGCCCTGCAAAGTGAAACCACGTCATTATATTATGGTCTGAGTAGGGCACGTCGCGAGAAGAGATGGTGGTGGCCACACCGAGACAAGAAATGGTGGTGGGCACATCACTAGAAGAGACGATGGTGGGCACATCGTTATAAGAGATGATGGTGGGCACACCGCTAGAAGAGATGGTGGTGGGCACATAGCTAAAAGAGATGGTGGTGGGCACATCGCGACAAGAGATGATGGTGGGCACATCGTTATAAGAGACGATGGTGGGCACATCACTAGAAGAGTCGATGGTGGGCACATCGTTATAAGAGATGGTGGTGGGCACATCGCTTGAAGAGATGGTGGTGGGCACATAGCTAAAAGAGATGGTGGTGGGCACATCGCTTGAAGAGATGGTGGTGGGCACATAGCTAAAAGAGATGGTGGTGGGCACATCGTTATAAGAGACGATGGTGGGCACATCGCTAAAAGAGATGGTGGTGGGCACATCGCTAGAAGAGATGGTTGTGGGTGTTGTATGTATGCCCTTTTCCAACCATTTATGTTAGGAGTGATTCTGCCTATTTTTTTTAAAGTTTAATCAGGATGTAGCGCGGGGGCACAGAGGGGGGGTCTCACCCCTCACACCCCGCTGCCTCGCCACACAGGGGCAACTGGAGGAAGTAGTCAAAAATTTAATTATAAATAAAACTCGGTGCAGGGGGGCTAATGAGATTCTGCAGAAAATTCCAAACGGACACAAAAAAGGGCTAAAAGGAAGCCTCCCCTCCTTCCAGATTAATTATTGCTAAAAGTTTAAAAACTAGTAAAACACACTTAGGGGCAAAAAAAGCATCTGTTTCCACAGATGGCGCGATGGCTGGAGGAAGGGGACAGGAACCAGGCCTTGATGTGACTTAACATATTACTTCAATAAATGAGAACAGACACACACACACGTACACAGGACAACCAGCTGTTCCCACAGACTGAGAGGAAATCAAAGGAATTTCAATCCTTTGTGAGGAGACGAGCCGAGGTGTGAGATTTTCGAATATAACGACGAGCAAAAACCACGCACAACAGTCTTGCTGCGGCAAGCTCCGAGGGTGGGCCCCGCAATCGACCATGGATGATGAGGCTTGCAGAGGAGCGATGTGTCGCCGAGTGTGAGTTTGGCACTGAGAAACGAAGTACTACTAAAAGTTTCTCTACATCGAGTGCCAGCTCCCACCAGCAGCTGCAGCAAGAGAGAACGAGTGACGAGCAGCGACAAGCAATCAACCTGGAGAAACGGCGGAAAGCCAAGCATCAACCAAGCGAGCATCGCACAGGACCAGCAGCAGCAGCGGCTAACGACTAACCACGAGCGTGCGGACTCGGAAGCCCAGCGCACTCCTGTAAAGGTCGAGTCTACAACGATCAACCACGCCTGCTGCAAGGGAGAGAGCATGGAGCAGTGGAGAGAGCGTGACCAGCGCAACCGAGAAAGAATGTCGGCGCTGGCAAAGGCGCTGGGTGTTCGACACACACATCGATGCAGACAGACTCATCATCATCCTGCCAGCACGTGCACCGCCGGCGGCGTAAGCATCGATCCGACTCAACAATCACCCCAGCGGTGGACAAAACCTGTCGGAGCAGCCAAGATAGTGTGTATAACACACCCACATGCACATAACGCGCATATCGAGACTAATAAGATTGCTCCAAAAGTTATATTTGTGTTTCAAAAGGGTGGCCATTCCAAGGTGGTGCGTTAAATATTAGCTGATCGTTACAGGCATTGCTGTCCATTGAGTTGCATGAATACAGTCGTTTAGAAGTATTTTTAGTCATTCATTTTCGTTAATTGCATAACCTTACCAATGAAATCATTGACACTAACCATTTGTAAGTATCTATGTTACGAATCAACACACTCACAGGAATACTATTGTGTTGAGACATTTCTTTTGATCACATAATCTTTCCCGCGAATTCATTGAAGCCCATTAGCCAATTGATAAGCATGTTAGGCAAACAGGCACATTGCCGCACACTATTGTTCCAGGACATTTCGTTCATTCCATAATCTTACCAATGAATTGATAACAACTTTTGGCTTGGGCACATGTTTCTTTATCACTGTTCGTATGAATATTGTCATTTTTTTAAAGGACTTTTTCTTTCGCCGTGTATTGTCTTGCTACTCTGAGAAGTTTGTTACTTTGCTCAGCTTTAACAAACGTAACCATTGAGGGTTAATTGTGCGGATCAATGAATAGGACATCTCCAGGAGTACTGTGTTGACAATTCCGAGCATAAAGTGTTCGCATATTCGAGTGTTTTTAGGTATTAAAATTGCTAAACACAGAAGACAGAGTGATTCCTTCCTAAGTTCATGCTTAATAATCTTAATTACAAGAACTCTATCCTACGGTGAGATCTGAATTCTGAGATCTGCCATAAAATACACTGAAAACATAATCGTTAAAAGTGAAAGCGAGAATCATTGTATTATCACGATTGGTAATACACCCCTAGACAATGATGCCAAACATAATTAGCATAAATTAGCATACTTACATAAATTAGCATATTTTCGTACGATTATTGATTTTTTATATCCATTTTATTTTTTATTATTTTTATTATTTTTCAAGCCCTAAAATATACAACATGGGTACATCGCTAGAAGATATGGTGGTGGGCACATCGCTCGAAACTTCCCTAATTTGTATCACTCCTACCTGGTATGTGTCTCACAGACATCACTTCCCAATACTCTGTCGGTGTTCACCACAGGAAAACAGATGTGCGCCAAGAGCAAGTGTTTAGAAATTTAAGATAGAATTCAACCTCCCCAATTTTGTGCTAAGCCCCTTTTCGAGGTTCTGCCCTGGTGTAACGAACAGTGGGCACACCGGACTTGCCATTCAGAGGTCGCCGGTTCGATCTCCCGTGGTGGCAGTTGAAACAAGGGGGGGGGGACAAGCCCCCACCCCCACCGCCTGTATTAACCCAGCAGTGTAAATGGACACATTGGCGGTACATCGTTGCAGCATAACAACAGACCGGTCCTCATAAAATAGTCCGACGATGTCGCTGTTGCCCTTGAGTGAGCTGCAGACTCTCCATCAGAAGTTGCCACTTATAACATATCAGAAGTTGCCACTTATAACATTTGTCTTTCGACTGCTTCTACATCACGAGAAACGATTTTGACGCACCCTGCAAGATTTTCTGACCAGGGTTGCAAATCGCAGGAAAATAATTATTGCCAAAATGTGATTTGTTTTATTATGCCAGTGGACTGCCAATATGTTCAATAGGTACAGCCAAGGCATGTGGTGGGGTGAAGTGTGGGTACACCTTACTTCTTCCAAGACATCTGGCCAGCGTGAAAATGTCGGCAAAATACCCTCTAGAAGTGGTCTATAGAGCTGGAGGCCCTTCTGGCAGCAGATGCATGTGCAAGATATTTCAGGCCTGCACCTTTTCCTCCATTTGTGAATTGATCGTTTCTCACCTTTGCAACCACCTCCTCCAGCAGTCCCATGTTGGCCTCCTGCGCCTTGATTGTGTGGGAGAAGAAAGCGTAGGTCTTGTGAGGGATCAGCTTGCCATCCGGGGGCCTCTTTACTCCCAGGATCAAGGTCGCGTCCGAGATGTCCTCCTGCAGAATGGCCCCAGCCTTCACATAATCCTGGAGGGACAGAGAGATTTGGAGACAGTAACAATGACCGACGATTGCGAGACTCCCCATCTGCACACAAAAACTTGTTCTTTTTACGCATGTTAATGTCCAGTTACAACAGAAAACTTCATAAAAAATGTCATGGTTGTCATCAAATTGTAAGACTGGGACTTTGATTGTTTAAATACACAAGAGTCCAGAGCATATGTTCGAAAAAGAAGAGAGAAGCTGCGAAGTAAAAAAAATTAGAGATGGAAGTTAACACTGAAAACAAATTTGAGGACTTTCAAAATAAGATAAATGTTTTTAGGTCAACATTGGGGGAAGGGTTTCACCTATTGTAAACCTTAGCGAAACTCAAGCAGAACCAGAAGCAGTACGGGAACATTTTTAAAGAGCCGTCTATGAGAGACGGAGAGAGATGCACTGGGGCTGACCGTGAAATAAAAAGAGCAACGGGTGAGGATTCAAACGCAACAAGCTGCAATTAAGGGAAAAAGACAAACTGGGGCAGTTTGCATCTACTATTTAAATCCATGAGCCAGTCGTTGACATTTCTATTGCAGGGGTGTGACTCGCACTGTTGACTTCCCATAAAATGTTACCAATTTTATCGATCCCAGAGAGATGATTCGATCTCTCACCGGAATTTTTGCTCCCCAAATTCTTATGCCGAGCCATGAGTTCTCAGATTACAGGGTACTCTCAGGGTACTTAAAACATTGCTTGGCTGCCTGGATTCGAACCCAGGAACTCAGTGCTACCAGCTCAGAATTCTGACCTCTGAGCCACCTGACCACCTCAAAATATGACAGCAGTTTAGAGAGCTGGTTTGGCACCACACCAAAGTTATATTTATAGACGTCACTGCTGAGAACACCCACCAAAAATTATACTGGTAGGAACGAAGTTGTAAACTGAGTGTACCAGCCTGCAATAGATTAATGTGTCCGTCCGTCCGTCCCCTTTCAATACTTTAACGAAGTGAAATCTCGTGCTGTTGGGGTGTAAAAATAAAATTGCGCAAAATTCCAATGTTCCTACCAGCCCACCCTGCAGGGACCTGTTATCACGCGACAAAGGGACAACCACTCCTTTTCCTTCCTCACAAAGTGGTACTCATTTAATCTAATTCAAGGACACTCATTGTAGTAGTATGCAGGGACACTAACATTTGTTCATTCGTTAATAAGTTTATTCTTGGTAATGTCTATTGAGCTCAGCTTATTTTTCAATTAAAACCTAAACAAAAAATCTTCTTTGGTCTTTTCGGTAAAGTCACGTAGAATGAGAATAAAATAATAAAATAAAACAATTAATTTCTCATGACATTCTACGTGACTTTACTGAAAGAACCAAAGAAGATGAATCCTTGCAGTCACGAAAGCTTTAAATCGAAATCTAAAAAAAATCATTTCGAATCTTGCACTACAGCTACACAGATCTGGGCACGCTTATTTGTGAGCTGTGTGGCGAGTTTCGCAACGAACAGTGTAAAAGCGTATATGATGGGGCCTAGGACACATGGACACAAAAACATATTTACCGGGCATAACAATAAGCAATGTATTGGAGTGACGATGTAAGTGGCGATGTTCCATCTCTTCGATGACAACACTCCACACGTTCAAACTCACAGAGGAAAATCACGTAAACTCACATTGGCATGTATAGCCCGGCGGTTAGAAGGTTGTACCAACACTGTATAGCCGGCGGCAGTCAACAATTCCACGTGACTGGGAGCCAGAGGCGCTCGCCTCTCCCACACGTTGACATCTTCCCGGCGAATCGCCAACACGGGCTGGTGCCGCGTTTTCTGGGAGAGAAGGCGCCGGCCACCGGTACCGTTGACAAACTTGAGACTGCGCCACATCTTCACCACTTGTTTCTGCTGCAAAGGTGAAACACGAGTGTGTGGAGATGCAGTCAATGTAAATCCAAAAACCATCTTGCAAAGTTATATTAATCATCTACGAACTGAAATAATCAGTGCCGCACAATTATAAATTAAAACCCCAAATTCATCTGCTGAACGTTCTAATTGCACATGTACGTTATGTCTAAATAAATGACAATCAATATACAGTTTAACAATAACGAGGTTTTCAAGGCTCAAGGTGGGGGATGGACTTCAGACCCAACCATATTCACGCAAATGCATAATGATCGTTGCTCCCAAGGGAAAACAAGTTGGTAGACCGAGACATCGTGTTTGTTATTTTATTTATCGATTTTGTTGGATTATATTATCTCCCCCACCCCCTCCCTTTCTTCCCTTTTCCTCTCCCCTCCTTTTAAATGTAACGTTCTGACTCGCCCCTAAAGAACATTTGCGAAAAATAGCTTCATAGCTCATCGGATTCCTCCAGTATAATCTTTATTTGAAGCTTTCTTGACTGCAGGAATCCATACTCTTTTAGTTATTTCGGTAAAGTCACGTAGGTAGAAAAATAATAGATCACGACGTTTCGATCGCAACACCAGCAATCGTCATCAGGTGGGACAACCACAGCAAGACAAAACATCTGAAGTGTTGTGATCGAAACATCGTGATCTATTATTCCTCCAGTATAAATAAATATTCTGATTCTCATAAATCCGCGACACACGATTGCCGCCCCCGCGGGGGCTGGGTGGTGGATCAAACCTCCCCCTAAAGGTTTCATACCCAAACACGCAATATTTTGGTTCATTGCGCATTTGCTTCTCACATATAGTGCGTATTTTCCTGCATATAGCCCGCATACGCAAATAACCCGCATACGCATATACCCCGCAAAAATAGCGTTTTGTGTAAAACAAATTTCAGATAACCCACACCTCCATATACCCCGCATGCATTAATATCTTTAACGTCGTTACAGCAGCTTAATTCAATCATATTAATACAAAGTTTACATTTGTAATACATTCCACTATCAATTGTTAACATTAAAATCATAACGTGCACAAAGAAAACAAACTAACCGGAAATGAGTGAACTTAAAACAGTAAATAAGTAACAAAAGTACATATCCAATAAATAAGTAACACAAAACTGGTAGATAAGTACCGTAAGTAAGCGTACTGTAAGGCTTACCAGCATTCGACCTCATCATATTACAGCTACTGGACCGGTAGTTGCCCCTGTACAGTTTTAGCACTGGTAGCTTGCGCACTGCGCACACAATATCGGCACTACGGTAACGCCATTGCCTCCTGGCAACAAAGCCATTGCTCATGGTCGCGACTGTATAGTGCTCAGCCAATTGCAGCGGCCTATGGGACAATTATGATTCTGGGTAGACGCTTGTTAAGGCTCTTCCCATTGTGCAATCCATAGCCTCAGCTGAAACTTTCGCACACCCCTACAGCCACTGAAAGTATTACGGTAAACAAAGTGAGCCCACTTCAAACATTGTCGTTTCATTGCACAAATAATTAGAATAATTTAAAACGTGATAACATGTGCAATTTTAGTGCGAGTGGTTTATTCAGCAGTGCTTTAGTCAAAGGTAAGTGTTGCATAGTGGATAGTCCTACCATGAAAACATTAAACGAGTTATGACATGTCACACGTGTAAAATATTTTTGGGATAGCCCGCACCTCCATATACCCCGCAGGGTCTTGTTTTGTTTGTAAAAAGCGGTATACACCGCGGGTTATATGCAGGAAAATACGGTACCCCTCTAAAGACTGTCCAGTTGGGTTCATATTAAAATAAATGAAAACAATAACGAGGTCTTCACTGTCGCTGAGAGAAAAGAAACCTCAACGTTTTGGATGTGACCCTTCTTCTTCAAGGAGCCTGAAAAATATATATAAATACCCACAACTGCATTAATAGCTCCCGTATTGACTTAACCTTTTAGTACAGTACCTGCCTCAGAGGTACATAATATAGTTGTTATTCAGCTGAGTCTAATGTCACAGTACACAATCCTGTCTCGGGCTGTTTGGTTGAACCGTGTCCTTCACACATTGTTCGGATTCACTAAGCTGCGGATATGGTGCAATGGTGCCAAGGAAGGAAAGTGACATGTATCGTCACCCACTTGGTGGGTGCAACGTCACACTGGGCTGTGTTCACTAGAAGCTGTAGCGCTGCAAGCTCGAGCAGTTCTTGGCACGCAAGCTGGACACTGGAGTGTTACCATAAGCTTTGCTAACACTCGGCTCATAACGGTGGTTAGGAATGAATTCCTCCACCTTTATCGCAGGATATTAATTATATGAATTTGTCGTTGCAGAGAAGAAACAAAATAAATAAGCAGACAATAAGCTTCCTTTGCATAACGGTTTCTCCACAAGATAAACATTTTTTGCCACATTCCGTCAACCACACAGCCTTCTGAGAGTGACTTTTTTCAGCAGCATATTGGCCTAATAGAAGCAAACTCTAGACCGGCCTTAACACCAAGTGTGCACCACCAGCAGAACCAGGCCCGTTTAAACCTAATGCTGGCGAACTGCCAGGTGTACAGGGACAAGGACCCCATATATTAGACAACGGACAATAGTTCAATGCAAAAAAGCAAAACCATACAATACATTCTGATGTATTTCATGCCGTCTGGCAGGAGTAAAAAGTGGATTTACAGTCTTAGCCAATATGATGGCTGTGAGCCAACTCCATCACAAACCCAAGTTGTGACACACGTCACACAGATTTGTATAGGTCACCTCTTTAGCGGCTGTAGTTGACACCCAAGAGCTGAGACGTAATCCTCAAAGCTGAAACGTACAGTGAGGGAAAAAAGTATTTGATCCCCTGCTGATTTTGTACGTTTGCCCGCTGACAAAGAAATGATCAGTCTATAATTTGAATGGTAGGTTTATTTGAACAGTGAGAGACAGAATAGCAACAAAATCCAGAAAAACGCATGTCAAAAATGTTATAATTTGATTTGCATTTTAATGAGAGAAATAAGCATTTGACCCCTCTGCAAAACATAACTTAGTACTTGGTGGCAAAACCCTTGTTGGCAATCACAGAGGTCAGAAGTTTCTTGTAGTTGGCCACCAGGTTTGCACACATCTCAGGAGGGCTTTTGTCCCATTCCTCTTTGCAGATCTTCTCCAAGTCATTAAGGTTTCGAGGCTGACGTTTGGCAACTCGAACCTTCAGCTTCCTCCACAGATTTTCTATGGGATTAAGGTCTGGAGACTGGCTAGGCCACTCCAGGACCTTAATGTGCTTCTTCCTGAGCCACTCCTTTGTTGCCTTGGCCGTGTGTTTTGGGTCATTGTCATGCTGAAATATCCATCCACGACCCATTTTCAATGCCCTGGCTGAAGGAAGGAGGTTCTCACCCAAGATTTGACGGTACATGGCCCCGTCCATTGTCCCTTTGATACGGTGAAGTTGTCCTGTCCCCTTAGAAGAAAAACACCACCAAAGCATGTTTCCACCTCCATGTTTGACGGTGGGGATGGTGTTCTTGGGGTCATAGGCAGCATTCCTCCTCCTCCAAACACGGCGAGTTGATGCCAAAGAGCTCCATTTTGGTCTCATCTGACCACAATACTTTCACCCAGTTGTCCTCTGAATCATTCAGATGTTCATTGGCAAACTTCAGACGGGCATGTATATGTGCTTTCTTGAGCAGGGGGACCTTGCGGGCGCTGCAGGATTTCAGTCCTTCACGGCGTAGTGTGTTACCAATTGTTTTCTTGGTGACTATGGTCCCAGCTGCCTTGAGATCATTGACAAGATCCTCCCGTGTAGTTCTGGGCTGATTCCTCACCGTTCTCATGATCATTGCAACTCCACGAGGTGAGATCTTGCATAGTGCCCCAGGCCGAGGGAGATTGACAGTTCTTTTGTGTTTCTTCCATTTGCGAATAGTCGCACCAACTGTTGTCACCTTCTCACCAAGCTGCTTGGCAATGGTCTTGTAGCTCATCCCAGCCTTGTGTAGGTCTACAATCTTGTCCCTGACATCCTTGGAGAGCTCTTTGGTCTTGGCCATGGTGGAGTTTGGAATCTGATTGATTGATTGCTTCTGTGGACAGGTGTCTTTTATACAGGTAACAAGCTGAGATTAGGAGCACTCTCTTTAAGAGTGTGTTCCTAATCTCAGCTCTCCCTTTAAGAGTGTGCTCCTATCTCAGCTCGTTACCTGTATAAAAGACACCTGGGAGCCAGAAATCTTTCTGATTGAGAGGGGGTCAAATACTTATTTCCCTCATTAAAATGCAAATCAATTTATAACATTTTTGACATGCGTTTTTCTGGATTTTGTTGTTATTCTGTCTCTCACAGTTCAAATAAACCTACCATTAAAATTATAGACTGATCATTTCTTTGTCAGTTGGCAAACGTACAAAATCAGCAGGGGATCAAATACTTTTTTCCCTCACTGTAGCCCCTTCACACCATTTCCCGAGGCCTCAGTTTGGGCATCCCAGCTATGCCCACTGGCAGAGCCAGTGGGGGGTGGGGTGGCACGTGCCCCCCCAATGGTCCGATCGAAATTCCTAATTTAGAGAATGATTCACTCTGCGAATGATAATTTGACTTATCGCGAATGATAAGTTGACTTATCGCGAATGATAAGTTGACTTAGAAAACAGCGAATGATAAGTTGACTTATCATTCGCTGTTTTCTCTTCTCTTAGTGTTTCATTGACGTTATGTTTCATATTCGCTCAGTGTTTTATTGCCAGAAAGAGTAAAACCAATTCTTATATTCTGATACTGGCAAGAATGGTCCCATGATAAAACTTCAGTCTCGTCAACCTGTTGCTCACTCATATACACCGTGCACACTGCGCGGTGTCTACTGTGGAATTTCACGTACATGTAACACCCCATAGGAATGCTGTCCCGCTGGTTTCATGTAATCACTCATCACACAACAAACGTATCGAAAGGCAAGCAATGGGGAACGAACCCGACATTCATTTATTTGGCACACGAGACCAACCACTTCAAAACGTCCCACAAACGATATTTTCTCCTTCACTAACAAGCACCTGAGCCGCACTGACCGGGAACTATAGGGCAATCGTTTTGACCGGGAAATACGGCGTTTTGTGCATGTTTGTGCGCGTTCAGTCACCTCCGTAAATGCAAGGGGGTCTCCCCCCCCCTCCTTTTGCTGCGGCTTAAGTGACTGCTGTGTGTGCGTGTTGAGGTGGTTGCTCGCCGAAGGAAAGTGGTGCAGCTAGCTATTGGTGAGGGCAGTGTTCCCCTACCTCTGTTTAAAGGATCAGGGAACGCACACAGTTCTCAACCTGCACGCGTGATAAGGAAACAGTGGAGAGATAACAAGAGATAACAAGGGTTATCTCTCCACACGGCAGTGGCGAGAAGAGCACAGCAACGGTTCACCAATGACGCTCAACATCACACGAATGACACTCCACACAGCGCACTCCACACATCAATCACACTCCACCGGTCATCACACCATACATACAACTCATCACACTCCACAGCACACTCGACGGATCACAATGCACACATAAAACTCATCACACAGTGCACTCCACACATCATCACACTCCACACATCATCACACTCCGCACATCGTCACATACTCCACATGTGTATCTCCTCCTCCACACATCGTCACACTCGCTCCGCGGTGCCTCCACGCGCACTGTAGAGGCTAAATATAGCCTCAGCAGCCCGTGCAGAGAATGTCAAGACGCACGTGCGTCGAGTGCGAGACACGAGACTTAGCCTCACCTGATTTACTGCCGGCCTAGAAGGCGTTTGTCTACAAAGGGTCCCCGCTATCTCCAGGACACGAGTGGGTTGAGTATCACTGGACTCAGTGGATTGGAAACCAGGCGCTGCTGCTGCTGCTGCCGATTGCTCCACACGGCTCACACAGGCGCCTCGTCCCTGCACCCCCTGTTGAGCGAAGTGTCCCATCTCACGAGACCCCCAATCTCACGGGACCCCAAATCTCATGGGACCCCAAATCTCATGGGACCCCCTATCTCACGAGACCCCCCCCCATCTCACGAGACGCCCCCCCCATCTCACGAGACCCCCAATCTCACGGGACCCCCCTATCTCATGGGACCCCCAAACTCACGGGACCCCAAATCTCATGGGACCCCTTATCTCACGAGACCCCCCCCCTCCATCAAGGGACCCCCCCACCCCTCCATCAAGGACCCCCCCCACCCTCCCCCCCCATCTCAAGGGATCCCCCACCCCCATCTCGCGGGATGCTCTATGTGTGGAACATTCTAAATGAAACAAATAAAGCACTTACAGCCCCGCTCTCAGCACACAATGTTCACACCGATTCCCCTCGCAGGCACAACTCACGACATGCGAGCTCGCCGTAATCAGTTTTTTTTGTTGTTGCTCCCATTCGGTTACCGGTAATGCAAAAACAACCGCTCCCCTCCCCCGATGTTTACACCACAGCCACACAGAAGACGTCCTTACTCCTCCTGCACGGGAGCTGCGCGCGTCCCACCACGCGGCTGTCCGTGGACCATGGACAGCCGCGTGGCTTCATCCTCACCGCGCGGGATCGGCCACGCTGGAATCCCCTCGGCTCCTCCTCGGCTCCCTCGTTCTCTCCACTCCACTCCGTCCTCTCCTTCGCCGTGGCCCCGCGGAGCTGGGAGCGTGAGGCGGGGACTCAACTCCCCGTGGGAGGGTTGGGGGAGGATGAGGAGGGCGGTGGCGGCGGCACTCGGCCGTGATAGGCGGCTGCGGGGGGCTTGGCGGGGCCCCGCACCGCCGAGTGGCCTCTGGGGTAGCTGGGAGGCGCCCGGCGCGCCGCGTGCCGTAGAGCGGGGCTCGATCACGACTCCGTGGCTCGCCGAGGCGTCGGGCGAGGGGCGTGGGTGGTTGAGGTGACGGGAGATGAGGCTCAGGGTGGAGGAGGAGGAGGCTGTTGCAAGCCGGGTGAGCTGCGCAACCTTGACAGTCTTCTTCAATGACACTCAACCAGTCGTACTCCACACGATCCACAACCCCGAGACGTGTCCACCAAGCTGGGTGTGTTGTCCTTCTTACCCCGCACCTCCGATTAAGCGCGGTTGGCTACGTATGGTGCGAAAGAAGTTCACCGTACATACAAGCTCTTACACTCGCTCTTTTTTTTCACAGCGCCGCTCATCCCCGTCATCCGGCCCGTGGTGCTGCCCTTATGCAGTGCCATTGCTCTCTTTGTCATTGCCCACTGCCCTTGCCCACTGCCCTTGCCCAATGCCAGACGCGTGTCCAATGGCCAGCGGCGACCGTGTACCCGCCCCTGGTTCACGACGGATTTGGGTGGCCGCGTCTCGCCGCCTCCCAGGGGACACGCGAATCATAAATAAACTAAACCTACGTTTTTATTTTACCCGGTTAAGGCCCACTGAGTTACGTTGCTCACCTTTTGGTTTTATAAGTGATCTGGCCACACTTGATTGCTCACCGAAGTGGCTTATCACGTGGGCATTTACAGGAGCCAAAGACTCTAAACGCGTGTTTATAACTGAAATGTTCTAAACGAATGTTTCTAACTCTCAAACACTGGAGTCGAATGTTTATAATTGTGGAGGGGAAAACTCGGAGAACCAGGAGAAAAATCCACACGACCACTGGGAGAGAGACAAAAGACAAAGATCCCCGTTATAGTATTAACAAACTATTGGGTCAAGTGTTGTTAGCGAGCACCTATTATGAAGGCCTGCACGGCACACGAGGGGGTGGGTGGCCAGCACCACGGCCGGCTGCCTTTGAATGAGTACCTAGTGGCGATGCTCACACATCGCACCAGGTACTCATTTGAGGCTGAGTCAACCTAGGGGAGGCCCAGGACCGGTTCAGATCGTCATCGGTGTTGGCCGTGAGCGGGAGTTCAACTCGGGTCGCCAGGTTCGTAGCGCATTGCGCTAACCGCTGCACCACCGCTCCCCACAGAGAGAGAGAGAAAACGCACACTCTAAAGTAACATACAGCAGGCGTCAGGGTCGGGATCGAACAACACGCGCTCCTGCGTACCAGCCGAGGGCGATAACATCTCGAGACTGGTGGTGAATAATCTCGATCATTGTTCGAGCGCCGCAGCGCGGCGAGCAGACATCGCAACAGGTACGCCGAAACGGGTTTACCGGGGGGTGGGGGGGCACGATGGGACGCACCAACTTCCTTGTGATGGTGTTTATTTAGTAAATTAAAAAGAATGAATGCTGTGAAAGGGACGAAGCATCAACACGAACAGCAGGGTGCTCAATCAAAAAAGCAAGTTGGGGAATGGGAGTTTGCCTGGATATTCTAAATGGGGAAATGAATAGCACCTTACAGCTAATTAAGTACTTTAGTGACACCTCTCATTTTAAATGTAGAGTTGCCCGCAGGGTGGCCTCGAACCCAGTCCCACGTGGAAATGTATAAATGTGTTATGGAGGTAAAGGTCCCACTCAAGGGCCGCACTGTCATTCTGGATGGGTGGTCACCAGAACAAAGAGTGTGATTAAGTAATATGATGGACAGTGCACTCTAAACAGCATGTACATGTGGTGGACGAACGAAGTTTACAACGAAGTTCATAACGAATGACATTGCTAAGGAAACTGTACAGTGAGGGAAAAAATATTTGATCCCCTGATGATTTTGTACGTTTGCCCACTGACAAAGAAATTATCAGTCTATAATTTTAATGGTAGGTTTATTTGAACAGTGAGAGACAGAATAACAACAACAAAAATCCAGAAAAACGCATGTCAAAAATGTTATAAATTGATTTGCATTTTAATGAGGGAAATAAGTATTTGACCCCCTCTCAATCAGAAAGATTTCTGGCTCACAGGTGTCTTTTATACAAGTAACGAGCTGAGATTAGGAGCACACTCTTAAAGGGAGTGCTCCTAATCTCAACTTGTTACCTGTATAAAAGACACCTGTCCACAAAAGCAATCAATCAGATTCCAAACTCTCCACCATGGCCAAGACCAAAGAGCTCTCCAAGGATGTCAAGGACAAGCTTGTAGACCTACACAAGGCTGAAATGAGCTACAAGACTATTGCCAAGCAGCTTGGTGAGAAGGTGACAACAGTTGGTGCGATTATTCGCAAATGGAAGAAACACAAAAGAACTGTCAATCTCCCTCGGCCTGTGGCTCCATGCAAGATCTCACCTCGTGGAGTTGCAATGGTCATGAGAACGGTGAGGAATTAGCCCAGAACTACACGGGAGGATCTTGTCAATGATCTCAAGGCAGCTGGGACCATAGTCACAAAGAAAACAATTGGTAACACACTACGCTGTGAAGGACTGAAATCCTACAGCGCCCGCAATGTCCCCCTGCTCAAAAAAGCACATATACATGCCCGTCTGAAGTTTGCCAATGAACATCTGAATGATTCAGAGGACAACTGGGTGAAAGTGTTGTGGTCAGATGAGACCAAAATGGAGCTCTTTGGCATCAACTCAACTTGCCGTGTTTGGAGGAGGAGGAATGCTGCCTATGACCCCAAGAACACCATCCCCACCGTCAAACATGGAGGAGGAAACATTATGCTTTGGGGGTGTTTTTCTGCTAAGGGGACAGGACAACTTCACTGCATCAAAGGGATGATGGACGGGCCATGTACCGTCAAATCTTGGGTGAGAACCTCCTTCCCTCAGCCAGTGCATTGAAAATGGGTCGTGGATGGGTATTCATGCATGACAATGACCCAAAACACACGGCCAAGGCAACAAAGGAGTGGTTCAAGAAGAAGCACATTAAGGTCCTGGAGTGGTCTAGCCAGTCTCCAGACCTTAATCCCATAGAAAATCTGCGGAGGGAGCTGAAGGTTCGAGTTGCCAAACGTCAGCCTCGAAACCTTAATGACTTGGAGAAGATTTGCAAAGAGGAGTGGGACAAAATCCCTCCTGAGATGTGTGCAAACCTGGTGGCCAACTACAAGAAACATCTGACCTCTGTGATTGCCAACAAGGGTTTTGCCACCAAGTACTAAGTCATGTTTTGCAGAGGGGTCAAATACTTATTTCCCTCATTAAAATGCAAATCAATTTATAAAATTTTTGACATGCGTTTTTCGGGATTTTTTTGTTATTCTCTCTCACTGTTCAAATAAACCTACCATTAAAATTATAGACTGATCATTTCTTTGTCAGTGGGCAAACGTACAAAATCAGCAGGGGATCAAATACATTTTTCCCTCACTGTACGTCGCCAGTCGACCTCCGGGTTACAGCAGAAATAACAAGCCTGGCAACAAAGGTCCTCCTCAGGACCAGGCGTGCCGATCCATCGGCCCCTTGGTTCGTCTATACGAGATACCTTTAATCTGCTGTAATGAATCCATAAGAAAGAAAAAGCACGTGCATGTACAGTCCTTTTGTCAATCCACTGCTGGGTGATGGCCTCGCTGTAATATGGGTGCTTCTTTATTCATTCAATGCTGTAATTTAGTTGCAGTTAAGTGAGTTTGGTTAAGCACATACATCAAGAATACATTCAGATGGTGTATAAGTTAAAAAGTGCAATAAGTGATGTCTTAATAAAAATGTTACTTGTGGAAAAAAATACTCTCGGGAAAAGAGGCGCATTCAAAAGAATCGTTTACATTCCTTGTAACACGAGTTGAGTTTCCTCCCAGGCCTGGTATCGTCATCAAGGTCATAAATTGTAGACTTTTTTTGGTAGATGGAAGAAAATCTCTTAAGTGTAATGAAATTAAGCTTAGACTCAGATAATCTGAATGTTTCGTGAGCTTCAAAAATGGATTATAAGTAGTCAATAGAATGGAGGATTCAACGTGCAACATATATTGCCAATAATACTGCAGGCTCAGTGGGCCCACCAGTCCTTTGTATCAAGGCCGTAGCCATGGAGTCAACATTGGGGGGGACCAAATCTTCTCGGGTGTCTGGGGTCCCCCCCCCCCCCAGAAAAAGTCTAAATTTGAAAACTAATTTCCTGCCATTTCGTGCCTAAAATATTTTAAAATTCACTAACACATGGGATGGACTTTTTATTGATCTTTTACAATAATGTCTAATGGTGTATTGTATTACATTGCTCTGTTTTTTCTTTTTTTACCTTTTCTTGTTTCAATGTATGTAATAGCAGAGATTAGGGATTCATAAAGTACAACCATAACCACAATCATATAAACAAAAATCTATGCATTGTTATATGAAGACAAGTCCAGATATTGTGGGCAAGGTTTAGCAAATTGTTATTTTTATTTACATAGCATAGCAATAATTATTTTTTTAATATTTTTATAGCAATATATTTGAATATAATTACGGCCTTGCTTTGTACTAAGGCAAAATAATTTATCAGACATCACATTTTATATCCTAATATAGCTAAACCACATGTTGCAACTTCTGCCTCATTAAGTCGTAAAAGCATTGATTCTTAGTGTGTTCCAGACACATGGTGGTTTGTGAAATGAGTACTGCTTTAAGAGTTGAAAGCAATTTTGAAAGTATCATGTCTGCATTACGTACTTTAATAATGTGCTTCGATATAAGTTAGTTTTTTAAATAAATAAGGATTCTGGATATTTGTAAAACTGCATGTTTATTTATTTATTTAGAGGATTAGCTAGCTTTTCGTTTTGATATGCTTTATATTGTTTTTGGACCATGCGTCCTTTATTATCGCCATGGTAACTTTTTTACAAAGCAATTTTGAAGTAATTTGCAGACGTATGCTTAACAAGTGTATTGTTAACGTACATACTACCATGAAGAGGGGTGACATGGCAAGAGTTCTCGTGCAATGAAGTCATCTTTGTGCGAGGCACCGAGAACGACAACGGCAAGATATCTGAAGGTCAAGATGCGTGCGGGGCGCAGACCACCTGTGCCAAAGAGGAGTCCTCCGCTCGACCGCGTGCCGGGGGGTCTTGGGGCCGCACCTTGGCGAATAAAGCCAGCACGTCAAGAGAGAGATGAAAAGCTGCGATGTGCAATTTGGCTGCATAACCTGCATCATAAACATCGCGGATGTGGAATCGGTGCACGAACTGCGCTAAGTATATTGTCTCAATAGCTCATATTACATGATGAGAATGAAGCTTAGAACTTTTAATGAAGAAAGCACATTTGATGCTCATTACCAAGGTTTATAAAGCCACTCTTAAGTGAATGCTTACGTAACCTTCGCCTCCTCTGTGGGTGCAGTGTTTTCTTTGCATTGGTCGGATGCCTT